AGGTTGAAGGTTTCTGGGGATCAGCGTGTCAGCTGCCTAAAGAGGATTGCCCGGGCAATCAGGGGAAGGTTCTTTGGCAGCTGCATGAGGGCAGAGCTCTCGGAGCCTTCTCTAGATCGCCGTCGGGAAATGGAAGCGGTGGCCAAAGAGCTCGTAGCGACTGTGCTGGAGATCCTGGGGGAGCGTCTGGCGTCTAGCACGTCCAGAGCTGCTGAGCCAGGGGCAGCAGCCAGGCAGAAGGAGCAGCCTGTTGATGGAGGAGCTACCCAAGCAGGCAAACCCAAGGAAAATGACACAGCTTCAGACAGAACATCTGCACAGTCTTCCCTTGACAAACTCACCAGAGAAGTTGTTGAGAGCGTTCACTGCACCTTGCAATCCTTTGCAGCTTCTCAGTTTGACAAAGACTCTACCGGTGAGCGCACTGAAATTCCGGAGCTTCCTGGGGAAAATGACTCCAACAGACAGCTGCAGCCAGGATTCCCTGGAGCATCTGAACAGCAGAGCCTGGAGGCAAGCACAGGAGCAAAGCTACCTGCCTTAGAATCACAGGACCAAGCAGAAGGGGCTGGCAATGCCAACACCGTGGAGCCTGAGGGTCTTGCAACAGCAGAAGAGAACTCGGAGAAAACAATGAATCCGGAGTCAACCACCTTAGCCGACTCTTTGGATATAAAGAGCATGGCAGATCGGATTGCTGACTCGGTGTTGGAGCGGATCAGCGAGCCTGAGCCTGCACTGAGCACCGAACAGGATTTCAAAGGGCCTGCTGCAAACCCACGGCTTTCCCGCCAGCCCATCCCTCCGGCGGGGCTGAAGCCCCCTGCCCAGGCCGGGGCTCGGCACAGATCTGGGCACACACAGCCCGTCTGAGCAGAGCCAGGTGTGTGGCAGGATTGGTGAAGAGCCCCCGGACAGCACACACAGACCTGCACCCTTGTTTTGCCAATAAAGAGTTTACCAAGGGCTTGTTTGTGCTTCCTTCGAGGCAGGCTGAACTGGGGGGGGGGGGGTTTCCCCACCATAACCTGTCCCATCTTCCTCCCTTCTACAGCCTCAGTCTCACTGAGACACAACTTCACAGGAAATCGGAGGTAGGGAGGCAAGGAGTAGACAGAATTTTCGTCTTGCTTGGCAAGCTTTGCTGTCAGGCAAGTCGAGGAATGGGTTGGAGCCTTCTCTGCCTTCTCTGGGAAGCTGTTCAGGTCTCATCTGTAAAGTTTTCATTTATGCTCAGCACGGGTTGTGCACCCCACCAGACTTGCTGTCAGGGAGCAGTGGGAGCTGTGCCAGGCCAGGTGAGCAGGAGCTGAGCTGGCAGTGGGACAGGCAGGGCACTGCCCTACCCAGCACAGGCCGGGCCAGTGGTAAATGGGAGCAGAGCAGGGATGGTGACAGTGATCAGATGAGCACTGGAAAATCCCACAGTGATGAGGCAGGTTAAGAGAGGAGGTCAGTGCCCAGGCTGGGATTGGGGTCCCCATCACCACAGAAATAGCTGACCCAGCTCAGGCAGAGACCCAAGGACAGGCTCTGCAATCAGGCGACATTCCTGAGGAAGAGGGAGGAAGTTCCCCGTGGGGTGTCCTACAGCTCCCTCCCTTCAGGGGCCTCAGGGCAGCAGCGCTGTGGGAGAGCTGGCCCCGAGCTCAGCAGCTCTGCTGGCACTGCCCGTGCTGGCCCTGGCCCACACCCCACAGGGATAGTAACACCCGTGGGGCCAAGGCACCCGAGGAGCTGCCCGAGCCCCTCCGCTCCTCCCTGCCCACCCACCCTGGGCCGCGGGGGGAGGAGGGGGCTCTGTGCCTGCAGGGTTTGTCTCCCCTGCCCTCGGGCCTCTGTGGGAGCCCTCGGCTGACCCGCACAGCCCACACGGGGTCACTGCAGCCTGTGCAGCACCTGCTTTGCTGAGACCAGCCCTGGGGGAGGAGATGCCGGGCCAGCACCGCACGGGGGTTGCAGAGTCATCCGGACACAGCCCCTGCCCTCCACACCAGCGCGCAGCAGGCCAGGCATCAGTCTTCTGTGTCCAACTCTCCCCACCGAGTTTCATCCTGCTTGTACCTGTTCCTGTCAGACACTGCTGGGGGTCCCACAGGGCTGCCTGACCTCCAGGCTGCTCCAGGGCCCACTCAAGGGTGGCAGGTGAGGGACTCAGCATGTCAGTGTGCCATCATCACAGCAGCACTCCACATCGGAGTACTCGCTACTTGGGACAGTTTCTCACCCCTTCTTTGCTGACCAGAGCACCCCAGACCAGAGGCTGGGAACCAGCTGCAGGTTTCCAGGGAAGGGTGTCCACCCTCAGTCTGTGCCCTCGGCCAGGGCAGGCCCAGCCCCATCCATGGAGTGGCTGGGAGAGACACACGAACAGGCAGGCCCTTCTACATCAGTGCATCCAGACATCCCTGCTGATTCAGCTGGGAGAAAGGGGCAGGCTGTCCACCCTTCACCTCCCCATCCTTTATGGGGCTGTCTACTTGCAGATGATTGAGACCCTGCTCTACGGGCCCTCCTGTGCTCCCTGGGGCTTTAGAGTCTGGCTGAACTGCCCTGAGGGCAGGGAGGTAACACCCACTGGGGGACTCCCAGCCCGGTGTTTGGGTCCCATTTGCAGTTGCAGTGCCCTTGTCTTCCCCAGCAGAAAGGTCATTTCAGGGAAGGTGAACCTCACAGCTGAGGCAATCCAACAGCTCACTGCCCTCAAAGGAGAGGGCCCTGCTCCCCCTCCACCCCACACCCTCCACTTCCCTCACCACCTACCCAGTCTCCCTGCTTCCCTGTGATCTGAACGAAGGACCAGACATGGCACAGAAGGGATGGAGGAAATGGGGCTGCAAGTGGAGATGAGATGATATAACCCACTAGTTTGGGTTATGACTTTGGCAGAAGTCATAGCTTTGCAGACCAGTGTTGAGCTTCTGAACACCTTCATGGCCTTGGCCCCCAATTCCTGCCAGCCCCCATCCCCTGCAGCTGAGGTGTGCCGGAGCTCCAGCACGGGGTCACAGCCTCCTGTGGCCACCCACTGCTCCAGCGTGGGCTCCTCCAGGGCTGCAGGGGGGTCTCTGCACCCCGATGCTCCTCCAGGGCTGCAGGGGGGTCTCTGCACCCCAATGTTCCTCCAGGGCTGCAGGGGTGCAGCTGCCTCACCATGGGCAGCACCACGGGCTGCAGGGGACCCTCAGCTCCCATGCCTGGAGCACCTCTTGCCCCTCCTTCTGCACTGACCTTGGTGTCTGCAGGGTTGTTCACGTTCTCACTCCATTCTTCTCTTGCTGCAACTTTTCCTCTGCACAGTAACCTTCTTTCTCTTCTTAAATTTGTTACCCCAGAGGCATTACTGTCATTCCTGATGGGTCTGTGTGGAGGATGTGTCACTGAGCAGCATAGCTCAGGAATGGTTAGCAGATAAGGGTCACTGAGAAAATGTATCCACTGAGAGATGGAGTGCTCTTTGGGAGTTGTCTCCTTGATCATGCAGCTGAATAAGAATCAAAAGAAAGACCTTGTACTGCAGATAGGGAAGAAGAGTTGGAATTGTAGACATAGCTATGCACAAATGTAAGCAGCTTTAAAAAATTAACCAATCATGAGCTTGGCTTTTGCAATATATATGAGCTTATTAAATGCCTTATAAAAATGACAGCTGATAGACAATAAATCGAATGCACTTATTGATCACGAGGTCGTTGTGTCATTTCTCTGTCCCCACAGGTCTGTCCTGGAGCCAGCTGGCATTGGCGACATGGGGAAGTTTCTGGCAGCTTTTAACAGAAGCCACCCCTGTAGACCCCATGCTACCAAACCCTGGCCACAGAAACCCAGTGCTGCAGGAGCGGGGCCCCTTGGGGACACATCACCCTTCCAGCACTGCCAGCAGGTCACCGACAAGCTGCAGCTGCCTCCTCACACAGCCAGACACGAGCTGTGTCCCAGCCACCCTCTGGCACAGGGTCCAACTGCACTGCTGTGGAAACCCAGAACAAATCACAGGCGTGTTCCAAGCCCAGCTGCTGCTCTGGCCATCCCTGTTTTAAGTGATCCAGGTGTCAGCCCAAGGGGAATGCAGGGGTATGCCCGAATCTCAGAGCACGAGCTGAAGCACTTGGTTTGTGGGCTTTTCTGATTTGGCCAAAATCAGCTCCTTTCAAAGCAAAGCTTTGGGGAACACTCAGAAATTGGGCAGCAGACATCTGCCTAGGGAAGGGTAGATGAGGTTACGATGCTCCTGCTCTTCCTGCTGCTCTCACTCGTCATACAGGCTGCCCACCACCCTCCTGCCAGCCAGACCTCGGGAAGATCCAGTGATTTTAAACCACTGGTGTGACAGAGCAGCCCTTGCTGGCTTTGCCTGAAGAGCACCAGCTTTTCCCAGTGCTGACAGGGCAGTGACCACCTCCAGAGCACGAGCTGGAGCCAGGGCAGGAGCTCATCCCCATGTGCTGCAGTGGGAACCAGCACCAGCCTGGAGCACCAACAGACTGCTCCCAGCGGCTCCTCGGAGCACGGATGGAGGAATGATCAGACAACCCTCCAGTCTACACATAAAAATGTCCCCATGAGGTCAGCCCAAGAGCCCAACGAACCCCATCTCCAGCAGCAGAGACCATGCAGGGGAGGATGCCTGTGTGGTCATGTCCCACAGCCCACCTGCAGCACTCCCAGCTGCTGGAGGAGGGACATGAGCAGAACATCTCTCTCTTACCCTCCAACTGCCCATGAACTTCTCTCATACCTTTATGACCCTGAAAGGCTCCTGAGGATCCCGTGTAAAGCAGTATTGTCTTTTATCTGTTTAAACCCATTCTCTTCCAAGCTTCACTGAGTGTCCCTTAGGAGCTGTCTGAGAGTTAAGAACAGAACCAGCCCACGGCATGGTTTCCAAGTGCTTACTTCATGCTGATTCCAAAATCTTACTCATGGACACTGACATCCAGGCTGGAATATGCAGCTCCAGGCAGATGTAATCATGCTTCAGAAATTCACAAAAAATCCAATGCACCAAAAGAACAACCACGGAGATTTTATTTATTACTATTAGAACAGAGAAGAGGCTACTTTACTGATTGGTATTTACAAATCTGTTGGCAAAGAAAATAATATCCAGTGTCCTTTATTAGCCTGTTTTACAGCCCTGGCAAGAAGCATTCATTTGTAAATAGCAGCAAATGCCTATGGTTTGATTGACTGCTACGGCGAAGTGCAGGGAACAAAGGGGGTCACTGATGGGGATCACTGACACGAGGGCAGGCCTGGCACGGGGATCACCCACACGGGGATCACCCACACAAGGATCACCCACACGGGGGCTGCAGGCCCAGCACAGGGACAGGCTCTGCAGCCCCCCGAGAAGGGCAGGACACCCTGAGCCTGCTGACTGACTCAAACCTGGGGGCAGGGGCAGAGCTGGTGACCTCTGCCTGTGCCTGCACCTCTGGGGCAGAAGCTCCACACCTGGGGAACAAGTTCAGCGCTGCAGAAGGGCCAGACAAGCCCCCGGGGTTGGAGTGTGGGATGGGGGGAGTCAAACACGCTGGCACATTTTGGGGGGCGTTTGACAGAGCTAACCCTGACAAGGCAAAGGATTTCCTGCCCCACAGAGGCAGCTGGTAGAAGGAGAGGAACCATGACCTTCGTTCAGCTGGGCACAAACTGAATTCCTGCTGTGCAGTTCATCTAAACTCATCCAAATACAGGCTCTGGGAACCCTCTCACCTCTTGCCCCAGGCAAACCAGCAGGCTTGGGGCACTCTCTGCATGTGGCACCTCGTGCCCACACTGGGTACTCACTCAGGCATCAGCCCTAAACCTCACTGTTGGCAGGGCTCAGGTCCCCTCTGCAGCCTGGAGAGGATGATCCCCAGTCCCCACTGGAAAGAGAGGGCGATGCAGAAACACAAATGCAACCCTGGATACTCCTGGCAGCCTTAGCACTGCTCCAGTAATCCCCAAACTCAGCTTTTTGCAGCACAACTGCCTCCAGCAAGGAAAACACCTCAAAGGAAGAGTAGCACTAGGATGCCAGAGAATTAGGATCTGGTAAGGAACATATAACAGCATCCAGAGGCTGTGGAGGGATCCATGTGCTGCCTCCAAAGGACACTGTCCTTGCTGTGCCTCACCTCTGGTGGCACACAGAAAGCCACAACAGCAGCAGTGAGAACACTGAGCTGCCACCTGACACTACCCCCACTCAGGCTCCACCACACCTCAGCTGCTCAACCTGCCCCTTTCCTTCCCCTTCCCTTCCCAACCCCTCTGCAATGCCTGTGGGAATTTGGTGGGAAGAGGTGCCACAGCTGACTACAGGCAGTACCAGCATTTCCCAAGCACACAGTGCTGCTGCTGCTCTCTGAGCACAGGAGCAATTCTGACTTCTGGGGCCTTCCCAGCTTTCTTCAGACCTGGGCTGAACCAGGAGAGACCAAACTGGTATTCAGTCCCCAGCAGAGCAGCCTGGGAAGGATGTGCTATCAGGAAGGGGGTGCTGGAGCCGTGGAGGCTGCTCTGAGCACGGGCTCTGGTGCTCCTCAGTAAAGCTGCTGTCAGCTCACGCTGTCCTGAGCAAAAAGGAACTGCAAGGCTGCTGGGGTCACCCCTCCAGAGGACATGGCCCTTGTTAGGGGGATGCCACAGCAATTACCTGTCTGCTGTCAGGTGCGTGGCCTTCTCTTTGTGCCCAGCCCTATGGTGTGGGTGGGTGCCCAGCGCAGGGCTGGTCCCACGTGCTGCTGTGCAGCTCTGCAGCTCTCTGAAGAAGGTGAGGTGGGTGCTGTGGATCTGGCCTGCCAGAGCTCCCAGCTGCAGAATGGCTGACCATCCAGCCCCCAGCAGCAGCAGCTCCCAGACCTGCTCTCCCCAGGCTGCAGTGTGCTTCCACTGACCACCACAGCACGAGGGGCTTTTCTGCCTCAGCAAATCCCCTGCACCTTCACAGCCCTCTACCAACAGCACCGTGGGGGTCAGAGCAACCCTCACACCTCCAGCCAACAGTCTGCAGAGGTGAACCAGGCTGCCCCCGTAGCAGGAGGATTATCCCCAGTGAGGCAGCATCTCCCCCAGGGCCGGCTCATGCCACAGCACAGGAGTGATGTCCCCCTACCTGAAGCCACCTGTGCCTCCAGAAGGGAAATGGAGAGTCTCGTTGTAGCGGTCCCTCACGAATGTCACAGCCCTTTCACTGAGCAACCAGTCCTGTGGCTCCCAGGAGGAGGGTGGCCCCTCTCTGCCACGTGCTGGAAGGCCAGGAACAGCTGAACCTGACCTGGCATGTCCAAGGACTTTCTGGTGCTGACAGAACCGAGCCTTCCAGGAACGTCCAGTCCTTGTGCGCTGGGAGCTGCTCGGGGGCTAACCCAGGGCGTGACAACAGCAAGGACAATGGAACAAAACTACGTGGAGGGGAGGAGATTTAGGGTACCCAGCAACTCCCCAGAGCACCGTGTGGAGCCGGGGCCGGGCTCAGACCAGCCCGTGTACGAAGCTTGTGTCCAGGTGCACGATGAGCATGCGTAGGAAGGACATCTCCTTGCGCGTGTTCTCGAAGATGACGCGCGGGTCGTCGGACTGGCAGCGCAGGCAGTTGGGGGCCATCACCATGGCCAGGTTATTCACATCCATTTTTGTTCTGCCCACGTTTGACGGCTGAGCAAAGATCTGCAGAGAGCAGGAAGACACTGAGCTGGAGCAGCAGAAAAGGGCAAGGAAGTCCAAACACGCAGGCAAAGGTGCAAGGAGAGCAGAGATGGGGCCTCCCTTCAGGACAGTGCCCCAACAGCCACACGTGCCCAGGGCAGAGCTCTGTGCTCTGACACAGCTGACAGCCCTGGCAGGGAACGGGCCCCAGGCTCTACAACACCAGGAGCAGCGTTTATTGCTCCCACGGGGGACAAGGCCAGCAGGGCCCCCTCCCTCAACCCCACCTTGAATAGGAGGTCCTAAAGCCCGATGGCCCAGCACAGCCGCCCCACTAACCACGCCCCAGGCCCCTGGCCAGCAGGGCTGTGGGGGCTGCCTACCTGCAGGAAGTGGATGAGGTAACACAGCACCAGCCTGTTGAGCTCTGGCAAAAGCTGCACCACGGCCACGGCAGCGTCGGGGTTCTCGTAGTTGCTGATGCACTCTTTGTAGAACTGCTGGGGAATCACTGGCTCCTCCAGCTCCCGATACCAGAGCTTGAGGAGAGAGGCTGGGCAGAAAGAAGGTGCATTAGAACAGCTCTGGTCACTTCCTCACCCCCTTCGGGGGCAAACCTGGCAGTGAGACAGAGGCCAGAGAAGGGATTTTGGGCTTGTGCTGCTTCACCTTATAACAGTCTTGGCTCTGAAACACTCAGGAAGCCAAACTAATCAGTTAGTGGGAAACATTGGCTTCTACCTGCCTGCTCCTCCAGGAAGCAGCTCTGGGGCTGCCTAAAGGAGAGGACAGTGAGACCTGAAGGGCTCCCACCACTCTGCCCAGCCTGCACAGCCTCCCTGCACCAGAGCCAGAGGTTCCTCCCCAGTCCCACTGTTTCTCTATGGGCAGTGTTTGGAAAGGCAGTGAAAGGGCCCAGCATGAAATCCCAGTCCATACAGACACTCTGTGTACACAGCCCCAAGCAGCAGCACACCCAGGGGCTGCCCCTGCCCAGCACACACGGCTGGGGCTGCCAGCAAACCCCCTGCCACACTCCTGTACCTGGGATGTTGGGGTCACTCAGACCGCTCGGGATCCTCCACTGATCCACCTGCAGTTTCAGTGCATTGACTTCATCTATGTCACCAGGTATCCTGCAAACAGACACAGCAAAGGTGCTTTTGAGAGCCAGCAGGGCAGTGTGCTGGGTGTGCCAGCTGCTCCTGGGGCCTCAGGGAGAAGGGAGCAGGCAGCAGCAGCAGCTACAGCAGCAGTTCCTCAGACAGAAGGGGGTGCTTGCTTTTACACACAGTCTTAAAGTGGGGGTAGAAGCAACACTTGTCTCCTTCCCACTAGGTCAGAATCAACTACTGACCTCATGAGGGACTGCTGTCCATAACCAGGCCTCTCTGCAGCATGTTCAGACTAAACATCAGCAGCATCTCTGGCTGAATACCAAGACATTAGAAACCCTCACAAGGCAAAGTTGAGCCTTACGCTGGCTACTTTAAACCACGTTTAGCTACTTGAGAAACTAATACAAATCTTAAATACAGAGTAAAATCACACACAGAAAAACCCAAACAAAACCCAACTCAAAGCAGAATGCTCCATGTTCACCACACAGATTGTGTGTCTCTCTCCACTCCTCCTGTCCTGTGCAACACCAAGGCTGATGTGCTGCACTGCATGAGGTGCTCTGCCAGGAGCTCCTCCCTCCCTGAGCTGGCCAACCAGCACTGCTGAATTGATGAAAACTCACTGCCTTGCCTGGGGATGAGCTGCCCCCTCTCTGTTAACACGTGCAAACAGGCTAATGTTCCTTCAAGAGGTGATTCCTGAACCTGGGGAAGGTTGGATTTTGTGCTGCTCTCAGGCAAGAGGAAGCACGTGGAGGTCAATCTTGACTCCCTGGCTTTGAGGACTGACACGTGGGTGGCTCAAAAGTAACACAGTGCCCCAGAAACTCACCTGAAAATCCCCTCTGTCTGTTCCCCTCCCAGGGCCAGGACCTGCTGTGACAGCTGTGTCTGCACCCAGGGCAGTTTGTTGCCTGGGAACATGTCCTGCTGGCGCAGCATGATCTCCTCCAGGGAGCTGCCGAAGAGCGACGGTGTGAGGATGGCGTTCCTGGCGTGCGTGATCTCCTCCACCGTGGGCTTGCGGAGGCCCTGAGGACAGAGGAGAGCTCAGAGCAGCCTGACACAGGGAAACAGGGACCCAGGGATGGGGAGCAACCAGGACAGAGAAGAATGCCCATCCACGTGGCCTTGCCAGCCTCCTGGCAGCAGGGTTCTCGTTCTACAGCCTCCACTTCCTAATGCCAAGAGTTGCTCTGCTCATCAGGCCCGAGAGGAGCAGAGGAGCCCACTTTGGGGAGTTTGGGGTGCTTTTGCAGGGGTTCTGTTGCTGTGTTTTGCACAGTGAGGGCACTGCTCCATCTGCTGGCGGAGGCAGGAGGGAGCCTGGCCTGTTTCTGGCTGCGGGGAGGTCAGCAGAGGGCACCTGGACCCTGACAGTGCTTGGCCATGGGACAGCTGAAAAACAGCCTTGGGAGAAGGGAATTCCAGGTATTTCCAGCTCCAGGGGAAAGCTTCGCTCTCAGAGTGCTAAAACTCTTTGAAAAGCAGGCACTGGTACCTGTCCCTTCTGGCAGACACCAAGACTTGAGAGGGGCTTGGAATGTCCTGTGGCAGCAGTTCAGAGGAGCACAGAGCTGGCACAGGGGGACAGAGCTGGCACGGGGGGACAGAGCTGGCACAAGGGGACAGAGCTGGCACAAGGGGACAGAGCTGGCACAAGGGGACAGAACTGGCACAAGGGGACAGGCTGCCCAGCACAGAGTGACCCTGGCAGTGACCCTGCAGCCAAGAGGGAGGCACAATGGGGTGGAAGTTCCCCCCAAGCCCTCAGAGGGGCAGTGGCCAGGGCTGCAGTTGTGTGCCATGTGTGTTCCATCCTGCCCAGCCAGGATACCAGGAGCCTTCGCCCCTCCCGAGGTATTTCAGCTATTTGCTCACTGTACAACGAGTCCAGATGGCAGGGAGGCCCCAGAGGGATTTGCAGAAATAAAAGATGACCAGATCTGGCTCAGAGACCTAGAATGGACAGGCTGAGGCCACCTGCCAGCTTTCACAGCCACGCACAGAACCGTGCAGAGGGAAGGGAGGAGCACAGAGCTCCCCTCCACACCAGACATCTCTGCTGTGTGACTGTTTGAATTGGAAATGAATAACTCTGCAGTAAACCAGCTGCAAGACCCTGCCCATGCAACCTCTCAGTGGCAAAGGGAGAATCTTCCCTCACCTGAAGAAACCAATTGATGGGCATCCTTTTCACAGGCAGTTCCTCTTACCCTGGAGACAGGTACATATCGGGTGTGTCTCTGTCCCCAGGGCCAGGGAGCACCCAGCCATGCAGCTGCCAGCGTGGCAGGCACTGTCTGCCAGGAGGAGGACGGGACCTGGGCACAGCCTTCTCCCACACACACCCTGAGCAAGCCTCCCCCACTCGCTCTGTCTCCATCTCCCATCACTGCATCAGTGGTGACCTCTGAGTCCCTGGAGTGAGTGCTCAGGTACCTGGGCAGCAGAGTGCCCCGGGGCAGCCCCCAGGCCCTGCTCACCTTTTTGCCTCCAGTGACGGCCACTTTCTGGAGTTTGCGGTAGCAGTACTTGGCATAGGTGCTAATGGGCAGACCTGGAGAGAGAGAGGAACGAGTGTCAGCCCAGAGCACCGTGCACCACCACCCCAGAGCCCTCCAGAGAGCTCCAGCACAGCAGCTCAGATGGGCACCAGCAGCTCTCTCCCTGTGTGGCAGGGCAGGACTGCTGCAACCTTGCACCCTGCAGCCCCCCAGCCCCACGGCAGGCAGTGCCAGTGCCAGTGCCAGCCGGGCTGGGGCTTGGAGGGATTCATCTCGGTCAAGGCTCGTAGCTCTGCCCCTCCCAGCCCCACTCCGCGTCCCTCCCAGGAGCCAGCCCGTCCTGGCTCAGGGCAGGGCACCCGCTCAGCGTTCACAGCCTGGGCACACACACCCCCAGTCCTGCCCATGGCACAGCCAGGGCAAGAGCCTCCCAGACACAGGGCCAGGGATTTACATCCTGCCAGACCACAGCCACAGAGCACACACTCAGCCTTCTGCCAGGGAAGGCTATCAAGTGTTTCCAACCAGTTGTTCATGATCCAAGAACTTCAGTTCCCTGGCTAGTGGGAGAGGAGCAGCACAGAAAGGTGTGGGCGGGCAGAGAGGCAGCACCACCACCAAGAGTGACCTCAGGCCACAGGGAGAGGTGTGGGGAGGTGGCAGGTTCCCAAGGACATGCAGAAGGCTTCCTCCTGCTCCTGCCTGCAGCCTCCTGGAACCCTTGTCCTGCAGGGCTCAGGGGTGCTCCGAGATGGGGAAATCGGGACATCGGAGCCTGGGAACTGCACCTCCAGTCCTGCTGTCCTCCACAAGAGGGGCTGCTCTGGCTCTGCTTGGTTCAGTGAACTCTGCAGGCAGGATTCACAGAGCTAATCCCCCCGTGACACCAAGGGAAATGTTTGCAATGACAGAGCGCTGATTGCTGGGAGAGTTTTTCCGAAACCATTGGCCTTTTGTTCTTGTTCAAGTAAAACCCAAACTGCTTGCTGAAAGCAGTGAATAGATCTGCCCTATTTGATTCCCTGCCAGGCCCAAAGCTTGCAGCAGAGTTCAAAATACTTGTGGCTTTGAAAATCTACATTCTGGTCAGATGCTCCACGTTTCAGATCAGCCTTTCACACACCCTAAGGCTTAGGTCTGAACCTGGAGGTCCTCAAAACCCCTCAGTGCAGAAGGAGGACAAGCTCTTCCCAAGCAGAGCAACAATTCCCAAAGGTGAGAGTTATGTTGTCCCCCATTCTCCTCTCAGCCATCAGACAAGCCAGTCCTTGGCTCCTCATGACAAAACAAGCAATCCTTGCCTCCACCAACCTGCCTCACAGCTGGAACAGTCTGTCCCCACTGCTGGAGCCAGAGGAGGTACAACAGCATTCCCATCCCCCACAGGCAATGGGAAGGAAAGCCAGTTTTAAGAATTTCTCTCTCCACAATATCTAAAGCAAAATATTCACTGTAAGCAAAAATCTCGCTATTCCCAGGCATGATTTACACTGGGAATGTCTAAGGACTAAAGGAAACAAACCCAGTGAGCTGCTCTGTGGTGCTTCACTCTCCCAGGTTACAGCTCTGCTGTCAGATGTGAGACACACCCTGAAGGGAGGTGTCACCCTTCACAGAGGAGATGGGAAAGAGGCTGGACCGTGTCTCTGCATCCCAGCAATTATGCAGGAGGCAGCACACTCAAAACTAATAATAGGAAATGTTTTCCCACACTGTAATTAGACCATGAAACCCATTATCACCCCAAAAGATGAACAAGATTTGCAGAGGAACTGGTGTCTTGCAGAGCCTGATGCGTGGGCAGCAGACACGTCTGCTTGAAGCCTGTTTCATACTTTCCCAGGAAGATCCCTGGTCCTGGGAACAGCCTAAAACATCCAGCCCTTTCTGCAGTGAGGCCTCCTGCTCAACGTGACGACCAAGCTGCAGTCTCTGACCCAAAGGGGCCTGCTGGGGCCACACCTGAGGCCGACCAAGTTTGAAACAACTGAGAAACAGACTTGGTGCCTGCACAAGAGGCTGGAGGAGCTGCTACCCACAGACCTGAACGGCCAAAACAGCAGCAGGAGCCCTGAGGAACAGGGTGAGCAGCACTTGCCCTGGTGAGCACAGAGGCCACGAGGCCTCCCTGCCCCAGGGCAGAAGCCGCCTGCCCCGACACCGACAGGGACACCGACAGGGACACCGACAAGGACACTGACATTCCCGGCTCCGGGGCACCGGCAGGAGATGTGGAGAGGCCAGGAGGCACACAGTGAGCTGCTGAGAGGAACATGTGGGAGAGGAGCAGAACTCAGCCTCAGCTCTTCCAAACCAGCAGCCCGACCCAACCATCTGGTGTTTTGGGAAGGCTCGGCCAACTCGTGGCTCCCGAGCTCCTCACACACGGCCCGGGGTCCCAGCACGGGGCACAGGTGCCCCCCACGCCCCTTGGTGCAGGGCCAGGCAGCTTTGTCTGCACCACCTGGAGAGGGCTAATCCTGAGGGCAATTCCACTCGGGTGAGCACATAACGAATCCGAGAAATCAAAGATGATCTGTTATTTCCTGTGGTACCACAGTAGCCTCAGGAGCTCAGGAACAGAAAACTATAACAGCCCACACAGTGAAAAACAGATTTCAAGGGAAAATATTTCCATGTGCCAGCCTAGAAACACATGTGAAGAGCATCTTAAAAGAATCTCTCCTTTTACAACAAGTTAAAATCCAGACACATGCAGGAACATACCTTCTGGAACAGATTGGAATGCTTTCCTGCCAAAAAATGTCATAAAAATGCATCAAACAGTGCGGATTCAGGACCTGCCTATGGGACATGTATTTTAGCACAGGAAGAAGCTGTTGTCTGGGTATTTCTCTGATCTACCACGGCCTCCTGGACCTCAGCCAGAGGCAGGGGCTGAGACCAGGATCCTGTCTTACTTTAGCACGGGGGAGGTGCCCCCAAGCAGCTCAGCTGGGCTTGGCACCAGCAGTGCTGCTCTCCTGGCTTAGATCCACCCAGGCACCCCCATTTCATGGCACTGGTTTAGCTGCTTTTCCTCACACCACCAGTGCCTCCTTCTGCATCCCAGCAGTGCTCCTCCATCACCATTCCTTACGTGGGAAATGCCGTATTCGGCAGCCCAAAGGGCCGTATGAGCCTGCACCTGTCACCAGGATCAGAAACAGATACAGGATGTCTGAAAAAGGAGTCTTCCCCTTCCAAAATCTGGCAAGCAGCAGGTGGGCAATACCCTGAGGCAGTGCTGCACCTGGACCAGTAACCAGCAACAGACACACTTCCCTTCCTCGAATTTGTCCCATTTCTTCCTAGGCCTCTTTATGCTCCCAGCCCACACCACCCCCTGCTTTGCTGACCCTTCACGATCTCATTCTGTGCTTCAGGACAGAGTGCTCTGGACCCTGCTGCCCAGCACCAAAACCAGGCAGCTTCCACAAACGGTGAGAAACGTTCTTCTTGCTTTCCCCAGGTGACCTAAAGTTTCTTTCAGCCCATCGACCTTCTCCCCTCTGCCCTCCCCAGGCCCAGCTCCCGTGTCACCTCCCCTGCCACACTCATCAGCCTCGGAGGGACCGGGGCAGCACACGCAGGGTGGACACAGCACGACCCAGTCGAGGGCTGCTTTGTTCTCTGTCCCTTTCCTACAAGCTCCTGATCCTCTGTTTGGTTTCTGCCCACTTCCCAGCACTGTTTCTGGAAATTCATATATGAGCTGCAAAACGTCCTTCCCTCCTCTAAATGGCTCCAGTCAGGGACTGGACAACGTGTACAACGCAGCTTCTGGTGACACAATTTCTCTGCTGCTCGATGGCTCTGTCACCCACCCTCCCCAGAGCCCTCTGCACCCCTCACTTCTGCAGTCCTGAATAATTTTGTATCAGCACTGAGCTGCCAGCTCGTGATTTGTCTCCTTGTAAAAACCCAAAGCCCAGCTTACATTCCTGCAGGATCAGCAGACAATCCTCCCTCTGAAAACACAGCATTTATTTCTACCTGTTATTCTTCTGCCTTTCAGTGGGTTACTGCTGCATGAAAAGATCTCACACCACCTTCATGTTTCATTTACTCGCAGGGAATTACAATAGAAGATGAAGATTGCAGTGGAAAGTGTGGGAAACTTCAAAATTCTTTCTCTGGGTGTATGTCAGATGGTAAATGTTTACTCACCTAAGTGTTTACAAGCCTCTGCACTGAAGGGAGTGTGTGTGTGTGAAATCACTACTTCAACTCCATTTTTCACTGAAAGATTTACACAGACGCCTTATCTGCTTATCTACTACTCAGTTCTGACTGAAGACAGTATATTTAACTTCCTTATGGATTTCTCTGCTAAATTGCTGCTACATCATCCATAAGCATCTTCACATTTCAGAGCCACTAATGAACTTCTCACAACAGCCTTGCAGCTTCAGGGATCCTACCACCCCTCCCACACCTGGCAGATGGGGCTGGTGGAACAGAAACAGGTGTTGCAGGGAACAGCCTGACCTTTCCAGCCAGCAGCAGATAGAACCTGGCATGGTCCTGCAGGATCTCCCCTTACTTCAGGTGCAACTCTGAGGTCAGGCCCCAGAAAAAGTCCCCAGAGTTATCAGTCACCTGTGAAAAAGCTGGTTTGAGTGAGCTGCCAGCCCTGCTGCCTCTGCTGAGCCCCTGCAGAGCAGCTCATCTGTCCTGCAGCTCCCCAACACTGCCAGAGCAGCTCATCTGTCCTGCAGCTCCCCAACACTGCCAGAGCAACTCATCTGTCCTGCAGCTCCCCAACACTGCCAGAGCAGCTCATCTGTCCTGCAGCTCCCAATCCCTGCCAGAGCAGCTCACCTGTCCTGCAGCTCCCCAACACTGCCAGAGCAGCTCATCTGTCCTGCAGCTCCCCAACACTGCCAGAGCAACTCATCTGTCCTGCAGCTCCCCAACACTGCCAGAGCAGCTCATCTGTCCTGCAGCTCCCAATCCCTGCCAGAGCAGCTCACCTGTCCTGCAGCTCCCCAACACTGCCAGAGCAGCTCATCTGTCCTGCAGCTCCCCAACACTGCCAGAGCAGCTCATCTGTCCTGCAGCTCCCAGCCCCTGCCAGAGCAGCCTCCTGTGCCAGGAAAGGACAAGAGGAAACAGCCCCAGGCTGTGCCGGGGGAAATTCAGACTGGATGTAAAGGAAAACTTCTTCACTGCAAGGGTAACGAGGCTGCCCAGGGCAGTGCTACCATCTCCAGCCCTGCCTGCAAGTATTAAAAAACCACGCAGATGTGGCACTTGGGGACATGGTCAGTGGTGGCCTTGGCAGTGCTGGGGGAACAGTTGGACTCGATGGCCCCAGAGGGCTTTTCCAACCTTAATGAGTCTGTGACTCCATGAAAAGGAGCAGTGTGTGGGACCTGCCAGCAGAGCCCCGGCTGAGCCCACACACGCACGGCTGACTGGCAAGTGCTTCATTGTGGAGACCTGATGAAGTTATCCTGGCATGCTTTTGCATAACATTGCACATATTTGAATGTATTTATAAAATATATAGGATAGAAGCAAAACAGAATATCCTGAGTTGGAAGGGACCCACAAAGATCATCGAGTCCAACTGCTGGTGTCCTATTTTTATATTTTAAATATATTGTTTGTTCTCAGGTTAAAACTACCCCATCTTCCTAAGCACACCTCCAGCACATGCAATATTGACATATAATTCAACAGAACAACCTGCTCAGCCCACAGGCAGCACACCCTGCACAGAGCAATCTCCGTGGAGTTGTCCCATAAAGATGTGTAAGTCCCTCTGAGCACAAGCAAAGTGAATTCTCAAAGGCTCAGAATGGGCTGAACTCTCCTGGGCATGAACAGGAAAGGAAAAACACATATTCCTACCAGAAATGTAATATCTCTGTGCAATTTCAGGTCTCTGCTCCAAATCCCAACAGAGACAGAGAAACAATGAACAATGAAGTGCAGGGGTTCCTGCCCAGGGCCCTCTTCAGCCACCTCCCTTGCAGCTGCCTTGTGACACAGGTGACACAGCAGTGACACAGCAGTGACACAGCAGTGACACAGGGAAGCCACCAAAGGGAGCACAGCTGCCTGCTGGTGTCAGGTAGGGCTCAGGAATGCAGGAGCTGGACTCCAGCTCTCACAGGTTACAAACACCAACGCCACCTGATGGGAACTGCTGCCTGAGAGGAATTCACAGGGCTGACTCCAGTTTCCTGAAAGCAATGTAAAAAATACTGAATGGGCTTTGTCCAGCAAGACTTTAGCCAGACAAAGTGTTATCCTGCAGCCAGTAGCTGAACTGAGCCTGGAGGAATGTAGGAGCTCTTGTTCTCTGGGCAGAGACACCACTGCAGGCCCTGGGCTGTCAGAGCTCAGGAAGGGAAGCCAGTACTGGAGAGAAGAAGGCAGAAGAAGGCCTTCCCCAGGCACACCATCCTCCCTCAGGTTAGGCAGTGGTTCACAAAATCCATTAACATGACTGAGACAGGATCTTCTCAACACACTGGCTCATGTGGCTTTTAGCACTGGAACACGCTCTAGAACTCCATGGCATTCACAAATCAGCTGAATTACAGCCCCAGGTCTGCATCCAAGTTAAAATCCCTTTTCTCACACAACTGTGACTGAAAGGGCTCCCACCTGTCCCACATGCAGCCCAGCTGCCACCCACACTGCTGATCCACGCTCTGGGCAAAGCTCACGGACCAGCCACTCACCAGGGAATTCTTCCCAAGTCCATGCACTTAAACAAATGGTCTGATTTTCAGCAGAGCTCAGAATCCCTGCCTGCCTGAGATCAGTGCAGACCTCCCTCTTGGCTCCCTGTGCCTCCCCTTACCTTCATCCTCTGTGTTTTGTTTCCTCTTTTTCCTGGATTTCGAGTTCTTCTTGTTTTTCAGATCCACAAGCTCCTTGATGCGCTGGGCAACTGAAGAATCAAAAGAGATGAACAATGTGATATATGAAAATACCAAAGGCTGGAAGTGCCCCTGGCTGTGGCAGCCAGCCTGACTCCGGCACGAGAGGAGCCTGGGAAAAGGTCCTGCAGCACAGCCACTCCCAGTGCACCCGAGAGAGGGGCCCAGAACATCACTCAGCTTCTCCAAATGGACAGACACTTGAGAAGCCTAAATAAACTTGCTGCCTAAATAGCAGCAGAAGGAACAATCCCCTCAGATAGCTCAGAGTGCTCCTCCTTGCCTGAGCTCCAGGCCAAGTGCAGCTGGAGGGAAGGGTTTGGGGAGAAGTGACAAGGGCAAAGGATCCTCAGGAAACCCAAACTAGTGCTGCACACCTGACAGCTCAGTGAAGGGATCCCACACTATGGCTACAAGCACAAAACCAGAAGGCAAAGGCTGGCACTGCAGCACTGCTTGTCCCTGGTGCCACCTCTGCTGCTGTACCCATGAGCAGGGCAGGGCAGTGCTGGGGCAGAGCTGCACCCACCCTGCACACCAAACACAGCCCTCACACAGCAAGGGGAAACAGGAGCTCTGCTTTCTGGCCTGAGGCTGGACAGGACGTGGCAAGTGCTGTTGTTGTTTTTACTCCACATTAAAATTGGGGAATATATGCTGGGCTGGTCCCCAGACTTCCGAAAGACACTGAAATTGCACCAAAAGCCTGCATTCTTCAGAGTCACTGACTGTGCCAAGCCAAGGCCTATTCCCAGTGTTTGCAATGGCTCCCTTAAAAACTTAGGTATTGACAATCATACTTTTTTTTTCCCCACTCTTCTTCAAACTGTACTTTTTTACTACTCATTTACTTACTTAGAAATAAATGTCTTCAGAGAACCCAAAGAAACTCTGCCACTGGTGGGTCAAAACCAGCTCATTTCAGTGCTGAGCATGAGGTGAGCAAGTTCTTTGTCAGATACAAGTGAGAACTGGAAGGGCATGAGCTGGTGTCAGCTTCATCCCACTAAGGAAGGAAGAACTCACCCAACACACTGTGCTTTCACTGACAGAGCCCACAGCACTGGCTGGGGAATACCTGTCCTTTTAAAACCCAGACAACCCCGACTAATCAGCCATTGGAATGGACTGCCCAGGGAGGGGGTGGATTCTCCATCCCTGGAGGTGTTTAAGAAGAGACTGGATGTGGCACTTTGTGCCATGGTCTGGTAACTGTGGTGGTATCAAGGGTTGGACTTGACGATCTCAGAGGTCCTTTCCAACCCCTCTGATTCTATGACTGAGTGGCACAACCCACCAGGATGCTGCCGGGCACAGAGGAGGCACGTGAGGCACTTACTGTTTTCGTCACTGTCAAGGTGGCGGTAAATGTAACCTTCCAGGTAAGACTGAAACTTGGGTGATGGGGAGAAAAAGGCCAGGCTGATGGCCATCAGTTCCCAGCCCCAGGCCAGGCTCCGGTAGCACATGTTGTCCGTCGTCTGCCGGATCAGCTGTATGTAGAGCTCATCCCGCAGCCCCTGCACGCTCCAGCACTTGGTGACCGTCACCAATGCCACGTGGTTGCGGTCCAGGCGGCTCTGGCGGTCCCCCATGTAGCTCTGCACCAGCTTGAACATCTCGCACGCCTCCTTCTTGATGGCGCGGTTGCTGGTGATGAGCATGGGCTTTTTGATGGAGCCGCCGTTCCAGGACAGCATGTTGGAGATGGAGATCCTGCGGCGGAAGATGCCCTGCGTGTGCATGTTGAGGTTTTTGGAGGCCCAGTCTGCCATGCTGCTCTGGGAGATGGGCTTCCGGAGGGTGTTGTAGGGGAAGTGGCATCCCGCACAGCCGCCGCGCTGGCCGCTGCCCTCCTGCTTGGGCTCCAGCTCGATGGTGCCAGGCTGTGGAGAACGACACAAGTGTTAAATAAAGGCAGCTCAGAGGACTCCTTACCCTGCTAGGAAAATGACCCAATGTGAGTCACGAAGATAGCAGGAACTGCACAGGGGTGAGTCTGTGCCAACACGACTTGGTGCAGAACCTGTGGCTGACACCCACAGTCCCGCAAGAGCCTGGCTGGCACAGCCACACACTGGGACATGGAGCAACAGGCTGAGTGTCCAAGCTGTCCCAGAGCTCATGGGAACAGCCCAGGCAGGAGCTGGGCCAATTCCCAGAGCAACCAAGCACTGGAGGGCTGAGCATCTCCCCACTCCTCACCTCTTGGTTCCTGTGGAGCTCCAGGAGGCAGGTGGGGACACCAGGAGGTAGCAGAGACTAGAGCAGCCACAGCAATATGAGCACTGTTTCCTTCTCAGCCTTACCCATTGTGGTCCTACAATCCCATACCTGCTTCTTACCTTCACTATTTTTCCAAGTTCTAGCAAAAAAAAAACCCAACCCAACTGAACAAAACCAAATCCACACGGCCAGCAACCCTCCAGAGCTGCCTGTGCCTGGACAGTCTCTGCACCAGAGGTGTTGAAATCACGTGTCTCAATTCCACCAGAACCTTCCTAATGGAAAGACTAATGAGACACACAAACAGGACAGGAGCAGCTGAGAGGCACACAGGAGAAGGGGCACAGGTATTTTGAGGCTCACCCAGGTAGGAGAGATCACGTTTGAGTTGGTGAAGTGAAGGAGACCAGGTAGCTGTGTGAGTCAGCTGCCATCTGCAGTGCTGCCAGATCCCACAGACCCACCATGGCCTCTGCCACACCAGCCCAGCTCCTCAGCAGCTACAGGGAAGGCTCCAGCTGAGGCTACAGTGGTGCTTCTGCGAGTCCTGCTGCACAGGACTCAGGGACACCTCTGCCACACGCTCCCATCAGCCCAACCTTCCCCAGGTTAAATCAGAATTGCTCACAGGACTGAGTGGTTTTTTCTTTAGAGAAGTGGGGACAGCAGCTCCCACCCACAGCCTGCAATGATCAAACTCACCTGCTCCAGGGACAAGGCCACTGATCACAGGTTCACAGAGATCAGCAGCACAGACACTTTCCTTCCTCCCAGACTCTGCACTTTACACGTGCAGCCCTTGCCATCCTTTCCCAGCAATCACTACAAATAACTGCATCATTAGAGCCTTGGTAGTACTGGTCCCAAGAAAACATGTGTAATGATTACTTGAGAGAAAAGACACTTCTTTTGTCCACCCAGAATTCTTAGTTTTGGATGGAAGTGGCAGCCTGGGACATATTGAACCCAAGCACTCAAAAAATTGTTTTAGGAAACAGACTTTTTTGTTAGACTTAAAACTCCCACAAGGAGCAGCCAAGAGCTAAAGAGCCCACATCTCACTCTGTGTTCTCCAAGGGGATCACCAGCAAGCAGGAAAAAGCCAGACAAGATAATCTAGAGCTTTTCGCTTTTTAAAGGAAGACAAAAAACACATGTAGTAAATTTTGGTTTTGCAGTGGAAAAAGTGAAATCAAACATGCACTTTCCTTCTTTGCAGACCACCTTTAACTTGCATGCCACACTCTGCTCTGGTCATGGTCTACAGTCAACCCCAAACTACACATTAGTTCTGATAAGTTAGGAAGTCAGTTAGCAAGTCAGTATTTTTTTCTTTGTACAGAGGAACTGCTGAACTCACCAAAGAGGCTCGTGCAGTCCAATCCTTCCCTATCTTACACCCAACATGTCCCTGCACGTGCATGATGGGATTAACACACGTCACATTCCACCTCTTATTGCCAGCCAGGGGCACAATCATTTCTCCTCTTTTCCTACACTGTGCTTTGTATCCTTTGAGTTGCTCCTCTACTTCCTCACCCTCTCTGAAGTCGCTCAACATACTGACTAAAAACCCGTGCCTGCAGTTCTCTGCCATCTCCACATCCTCAGTCTCCTTCAATTCACCTTCCCTGCCCAGGGTTGGTTTTCCTCCTATCACCCTTCCTGCTCCTTCAGCATCTCCCTTCTGAGGAGTCACCTCCTCGCACTCTCTCGAGGTTCAGCAGGCTCAGGGTTCTCTCTGCTCTCTCTGAAGTTCCTCTCTCACTCCTCACTCACACAGCTCCCCAGCTGTTCTCTCTGCACTGCCAGCACACACCACCTGTGCTCAGCCTGTCTCAGAACCTCTGCCCACCCTCCTCAGACAAGGAGATTCCTTTTCTCCTGGTTCTCCTCTCCATCACACAGGCCCAGCACAGGATATTGCTGACTCGAGCCACTCACTGCCATTTTCAGGTAAGGCAGCAATTTTGCTGCCATATTCTCTGCAACTTCCTCCTCTCCTTACTTGGACTCTTACATTTCTGAGTATTTCTGTGAATATATTTCTTTATTTATTGACTCTTTGCCTTTACCAAAACATTCATCTCCTTAAATCTTCCACTGTATTCTCCTTTCCCATATTACCACACAGGAACTACTCTTCATTTTCAAGGCCAACAGCCTATCCCCAAACCACCATCTCTTGTGCATAATCAAGACATCGAGTCTCAGCTCTCCCTGTCAATGCAACGAGGTGTAACACAGCTGGAAGACCAGAGAGCAGTTTTCCACCAAGTCTGAAGAGGCTGTGAAATGAAATTCCTGAACTATTAACAGTAGGTTGTGTAAACTTGATCTGGCTCTGTGCCTGAAAAATGGGAAATGCAGGAACACGACATCAGTTTTCCAAAAGGTGTCTCAGGTGACAGCAAGGTGCTTGGCAAACTAAATTCTGCAGAAGTGCTGTGTCATAGAGATAAACTACTCCCCTTGTGCAGGCACACTAATGGGCTTTAAAATAATAAACACTGGTTTTCTAAACATTTCCATTTGATGCTCAGGAACTGGGAGGGGGAACAGCATATGAGGAACCATTAGAAAAAGGAGAGAGAAAGAGGAATTGCTGCCTCGTGGCCGTGCAAATCCTGAACGCCCGTGTCCTGCACCCCACGGACTCAGAGCATCCCAGCACAGGAAGGACATACAAGGGGCAAGGGCTCCCAACAAAGACATGAGTGACAGTAAATTGAGCAGGCAGCAGATTTATTAACAGAGCAGTGCTGAGAGCTTGCTGGGCACGAGCCCTTAGTCCCCGCAACTCTTCCTCCTCTCACACCAGAGGTGTGAGAGGAGGAAGAGTTGCGGGGACTAAGGGCTCGTGCCCAGCAAGCCCTCAGTGTGAGAGGTCTGAAACGAGGTCTGCACCTGCAAAGCTGTGAAGCTTTGTGACCTGTTTCCTATTTTGCAGGCACAGATGTGTTTTGAACTAAACCCCCCCCCGCCACGGGGAGCAGGTACCTGCGAGGAGTGGCGGGTGGCATCCGACGAAGCCAAGCTCGTCTGGCTGGTCACGTTCTTTTCCAAGGAATCTATTTTCTCAAAAGTCCTCTTCTGCCTCGTTGTGTCCTGCGGAGCGGCGGCATTGCCAGGAAAGCCTTCCCTCACCTCCAGGCCCTGCCTGTACAGAGACCTGTTGCTGGCTGAGACGTCGTCCCTGGAGCTCCGGCTGACGCATTTTTTCAAGTGGTCGGACTGAAACCTGACCTTGCTGCTCTCTGCTGGGACGCCGCTCTCCAGGCTCTCGGCATCCAGGCTGGCTTTGCTTCCCCTGCAAGCTGCTGACCTGCCCACCACTGCGCGCATCTCGGCGATCACTTTGTCGTTCAGAGCTGTGAGCTCGCTGCTGCTGCCCACGGAGCCAGGTCTTACCTGACCTGTTCCTTGCCTCCTTCCTTTCCTTTTTCTCAAGCTCGGAGAAGGGCCAGTCGAATAACCAGAATCCTGGTGGCTTATACCGGTCGGGTACTCCTGAGTCTGCAGGCTGTTCTGACGACTGTGGTGGAGCTCCATGTTCTTGAGGACGTTGGCTTCCAGGATCCTCCAAGACTGCTTGAAGCTGTCCTTTGAAGCAAGCTGACCAGGCAGTTTAGTGGAGGCATCAGCTGTTGCAGCAGAAGAGTGGGAGAGTTTGGCAGATTGGTCAACATTGACCATGTGTTTTATGTATTCCCTGCCAGCTGGGCTGTATTCAGTGGAAGAGGGGTTTCTTGCATGCTTCTTTGCAGCTTGTTGCTGTTGCATACTGGGATGCTGCAATAACTTGGTTGGTTGCAGCTGCTTTTTTAAGCTGTTGCTTGGTGACCTGGGTGGAGACACTCCACTCACAGCAACGCTCTCTGTGTCCATGTCCACCGGTGGCTCGTCATAAATTGGCGACTCTAGAGATGGCTCATCGTATATGGGGGCAGGGGAGGCATATTTGGGGGATGCAGGCTGGGGGGTTCCTGTCCGGCTCCTGGGAGGTGTTTGAGAAGTTGGGCCATTCATCAGCACCAGGCAAAACCCCCCGTTCTCCGTCTTTTTGATCTGCATAGACTGCTTCGTGTCTCCTGTTTGCTTTGCCGCTCCAGGGCTCTGGGACCTGGATTGAGGCTGGGCATATATAGCTGATTTTGGAAGAGATTTTGGGCTGCTGGGCTCTGGAGTGCTCTGCAGCTGAAGTGAACTGTTTGAAAAGCTCTGTATCTGCCTCAAACTGTTCACCTTGACCAACATGGCTGCTTTCGTGCCTGGCAGAGGCTGCCACTGGGTAGGAGTCTCCCTAAAAGAAGAAAGATACAAACACAGGCCATTATTGAAGAATTGTATTACCTGGAGTACCCTCTACATCTACACAAATACCACACAGTTCCTCTCAAGGTGCCTGAAGATTCCCCAACCAGTTACATCAGCATGTTCTTTTTCCCTGGAGATCCCCCTTCCTGAAACAGAACATTGTTGTTACACACGTGATAAACTTCTGAGTCACGAGCAGCAGAACGAGATGAAATGAGTTCATGATATTATAACCTGTCTGGTATCAGCAGCACTGAGATAGGACACAACCCACACTTCCCAAACTCAGCAGCCAGCATGGCACCCAGAACAACCAGCTGGAGATGAGCAACTTATTCTGGACCACTCAAGCATTTCACTGGAAAATAATCCCAAGTTATCTGCCTTCAGATTATCCAATTATGATGACAGTCCTTCCAGACCACGCTATTTTTTTGATTTAAGTTTCCAGATGCATGTTTATTTTGCAGAAAAACCTCTGAGGTCTATGGGAAGTGTATGGGGGCAGCCACCCTCAGCTTAGGATGTGTTACACCCCCACACAACACACCAAGCCTCCTCCCAGTCCTGATGCACTAGATCTGGTTCCCTTGGCCAAACCAACGGGCCCTGCTCAGGTCTCATGGCTGTGAAACCCTCCTCTGACCCGTGGTGGTACTCAGGATCACAACCCAGCATGCCCACTGTAACAGCCCAGTTCCAAGGGCACTTTCTGCAGCAGAACAACAAGGTGCTGTCAGGGCACAGCCACAGCCAGCCTGTTTGTGAGCTCACACCTTCACAGCCACGTTGCTCTGTTTGAACCATGAGCTTGCTTCCCCCTCCACACTGTCCTCTGTGGGCCCTGTGCTGGCAGACAGACCCACCTCCACTGCACATCTAGAGCCCCTCTTGTGCCTGCCCTGCCAAGCCCCAGGATACCTGGACACCTCACTCCTCCTGCCCCTTTCTCCTGCTCTCCATAGCCCTTTCTTTCACCTGGCTGGGTCCCAGCCCCCTCCTTCAGCACGGCTTCCCTAGGACACTGCGCCTGTCCTCCCCCCATGGCTATCCCACCAGTGTATCTGTGTGGGTGTCCTGTTTCATCTGCTCCACCCCAGTTACCCCACATCATCTACCCCAACCCAGTGCCCCACATCTGCTCCCAGTCACTGCCCTGCTAAGGGGGTGGTGTGCCCCTTCCCCACCCACCGCTTACCACGTTTTTGGCAGAACATGCTCTGGGATGGCACCTGCAGATCCCACCCTGGCACAGCGCACTGGGAGAGGCGCGGCTGGCACTGCCCTGGCACTGCCCTGCCACGGGCGCAGTGCTGACCCCTGGCCAGGGTCCAAAGGCCTCGCCACCCTCTGGCTGCACCTCCCCTTGGAAGGGCTGGCTCCCTTCCCACAGGAGAGCCCACGCAGCTCCCTCGTGCAGCTACCCCGGTACCCAGAGCAGGCTGAGAAAGGGCTGCACCCTCTGCTTCGCACCCCGGGGTGCCCCTCGCTCTGGGACCTCCTGAGCATCTCCCAGTAAGGCACAAAGTGTTTATTCCAAAGGTGCTGATGGCAGGTGGGATGGCATTTGGGAGGACATGCAGCCCCAAAACCCAGCAGGCATCCCTCCCCGGGGGACACAGGGCCTGCTCTCGCACCAGCGCATCCGTCCTGTGTGTGGCCAAGCCCAGGCTCAAACACAAGCACTGCTGAAGACCTGGCTGTTCCTCGAAGAGCTCCTGGACTAACAGGAAGAACCAGAGCAGCCACACTTGGGAGGCTTTTAAGTGAGTATTTCTGACACCCCCACGGCTGTATCAGCAGCACAGAAGAAACATTGTCAACCAGCAAGCAGGATAGAGCCACCCACGGGCTCCTGACTCAGCAGGCGGGTCGAGAGTGGGAGACTGGGAGGGATTTTAGCTCAACCCTACAGCCACAGCAGTGCCTGGAACGGCACCACACAGTTGTTGGGTCACAGGGTAGCAGGGCCCTGAGCTGCAGGTGTGTCCCCCTGCCTTGCACAGCTCCAGCTATGGCAGTGCTGGAAAATAAAGCTGTGCTCTGTGGGAAGGCACCGGACCCCACGCACCACGAGCCACTTCCTGAGGTTTTTCCTCTCCCTGACCTGCACATCCAACCAGCTCTGTGCAGCTGAACCATCCACTTGGCCAAGGCTTGGTAGACACGCCCCTGGTACAGCCAGACCCGTCACCCTGTGCAGGCTCCTTGTGTGCTGGTACCACCTGGCACTGGCAGCACCTGCTCCAGTGCCCACCAACCCCCCGGAGCAGCGGGACCTCTGCCCGAAGCTCTGCCACCTCCTCGCTCAGCTCTGAGCCACAGGGAGGAACCTCTCCCTGCCCTACAGCAGGCACTGGCACCATCTCCTGTCCCAGTTCACACCCACACAGCACACCAGCCTGGCCACCAGAGCTGGGCTCCTGCTCCAGCAGGGCATTATGACTTTAGGGTCCCATGGGATCCCAACTGGTAACAACCTCTGCCCCTACTCTGTGAAAAAACATAAGCCCAGATTTTAGCCCTCAGATGAGCGATGAGGGATTTGATCTGAGAAAGAAAAGGGCACGCTGTGCTCATGGCCTCCCCCAGAGGGAAGCTGCCTACCTGTGACCCCACGCCAGCCCCAGGGCAGCAGGTACAACAAAGCATGACAGCTCCTCACTGCCCAGAGTCCCTTCAGCAGGCTGGAAGTTGTCCCTTGCCTTGGGCCTGCCCAAGATGGGAGGACGTGGTGGGGCCATGTGGGTGGAACGTGGTGGAGAGTGGCAGGAACTCTGCCTGCCCCAGGGCTCTCCCTGCAGCTGCCCCGAGCCCAGCTGGGAGGACAGCAAGACAGGCTGGACAGTCGGCCACAGCAGGCAGTGAGTGAGCAGGTCTGCCACAAGCAGCAGGGTTTTGGCTCTTGCAGTCCAGGCACCCACATGTTCCCTCCTTCAGGGCAAACTGCCCCAGGACCTGCCCTGGGGCACTGCAAACCCCTGGAGCCAGCAGAGCCCAGGGCACTCTCTGACACTGCCCTTTTCAGGAACAGCACAAACACCTGGGACTGTGACAGCTTTGCTGCCATGCACACTGGTAAGAGGCAAAGCACCCAGGGGCCCCATGCTGGGAGCAGGGCCAGGCATCAGGGGGCTGCAGGACAACAGCCCTGGGACCTGTTGGAGCTCGTGCAGGGTGAGAGGCAGGGAACAGAAAGCAAGCAAGATTCGAGATGTGAAGACTGATCCAGGCACCCAGGGGGTACTGGTCCCTCCCAAGGGCACCCCAGTGCCCACTGTCTGCCCACTCAGACTTCAAGGAGAGGGTGCTGCACCCAGGAGCTTTGCATTCAGGACTCAGACCACTTGTGCCACAGCAGTGTCCTTGCAGGGCTCTGCTGAGATATCCAGTGGGGGAGCATCGGAGTGGAGTCAGAGGAGACAGGGAAGCTGTGCCTCTCCTGTGTCACTGAGGGCCACCACACTGACCAGGAGGTTTGTAAATTAATGTGACGGAAAAGGGAAACTTCCAAAGGTGTGCTGTACCCCACCTTGCCTGTCAGTCTTATCTTGGGCACACTGTGCCATTTCCAGCCTCTGTGGCTGCCAGAGATGAAAGAGGCACCATCACAGAGAGGACAAGGCTTTTTGAAAGAACCATTTCCACAGCCATGAACGATCTCTTGGGGCCATGTCTGGATACAGCTTCCTTCAACCCCATCCCCAGGCTGCTGAAAAGACCAAGCAGAGGAGAACAGGCACTTCCTGACTTCCCAGCATGGAGAAAGGTTCAGCCTCGTCCTTCTGACAGAAAGCAAAACCAGTGGTGGAAAAGTATCCCAAGGCAGCCTCTCAGCTGTGCTCTTCAGCCACCAGCAGCAGAGACCCTGAGAGTCCCCTGAGACTGCTCCCTGTCAGGAATGCTTTCAAGCAGCTCCAACATAAACACCCCAACCTGGCGCTGGCTTTCCCAGCCCGCACCCAGCTCCAGCAGGCCCGGCGTATCCGGCAGCTCTTCTCAGGCTCCAGAGCTCCATTGTTTGCTTTTTCCCTCCCAGAAGCCTGGAGAAAAGACCCCCCACCTCAGCTCTGCCCTTTCTAGCAGTCGTTTTCCCGGTGCTGTGGCAGAGGTGAGTGGACAGGGATGTTGGTATTTCAGCAGCACCCACAGAGGGGCAGGGATGTGACCCACCCACAGCCAGGCCTGCCCAGCTCTGAGGACAGAAGCACATTGTGTTTGCACACCCTACCCCAAGGCTGGTGGCACAAGAAGGAAACAAACTGTATGAAGGACTCTGATAGTGTTTCTGGCCTGGTTATGAAGAACTTAATACTGGCACTAATTCTGCTATGCCCCGAAAAACGTGAGCCCATGATACGGCAAACCAGCCTAAGAGGTGCTGTCACAGCCACCTTCTCGTCACACACTCCCTCTCACTCCTCTTCTAGCACATCTTCCTGGCACTGTAAGACCAAGCCCTCACTCCCTCCCAGCCCAGGATACTGAGCTGTCAGAAAGGTGGGTAAGGAAGGGGTGAGCAGCACAACCTGCTGCCCACACAGAAGAGACCCTCACCTTCCTCTTCTAGGGGGTAGGATGCTCCCAGGGAAGGTGGATTTCTATACAAAGGATTTTAAGTTGCACTGTTATCACAAGGAGAACCTCAGAAACAGCACCCTCAAATATGTCCCTGATGCTGGGAAAACCAGAGGAAGAGGAGTTGGGACAGCAGAGCCCACTCCCAGCCCTGGCCAGCAGCGTGCCAAAACGCTGCAGACCAGCACACAGGCTCCACTCCCAGCCAGACTGTCTTCTTCAGGCCTTGGCTCTCTGCCATGCTCAGCCCTTTCTGTCCCGCTGCCTCGAGGAGTTCCAGCAAACCTCAGCACGGCTGCAGTGGCTCAGAGGACACTTCCAAAAGGCTGCATTCAGCCCTGGGCTGGTCTCACAGTCCCCAAGGGAACTTGTCCATCCTTTGCAGAGCTCTCCAGTATGTGAAAGGATAATTTGGCCATCACCTTCCCTGAAGAGAGTCCATCTTCCTTCCTACTGGGATCCCAAGAGCTCAGGAAGGGTCTGGAGCTGCGAGGCAAGAGCTGCCTGCTGTCCCTGTCGGGCAAGGGAGAAAGAAGAGCCAGTGCCGGGCTGGGCAGCCCCGGGAAGCATAGCTGAAAACCAGCCTGGGAACAAGAGCACAGGCAGAGGAGCTTCCCCAGGAGGCTCCAGGGATGGCCAAAGGCAGCAGGGACTCCCCCCCGGCCGCAGCTGCCATTTCCCTGGGACTGACCCCCTGTGTCACCTCGGGGAGTCAAAGGCCAGTGTCTAGAGAAGGCAGCCTTGAGCTGCTGTGCTTCAGAGAGCTGGAAGAGCAGCAGCACGTGGTGGGGCAGTGAGGGAGGGGTGGGATGGGCATGGAGACAGAGGGAATGGGCAGCAAGGTGTGAGCACAGCTTCCACCTGGCTGGGGAGCATCTCCGTTCTGCTTGAGGCTGCCGAGAGCACACAGAGGGCTCGGCAGCACTGAGAGTGGCAGCAGGCACAGCAAATTCAGCAGTGCTGATTGAAGGCTCAAGAGAGAAAAGGTGATAATGAACAGTCTACTAAAAGAAAAAAAACCTCAACCACAAAGTATTACTAAAAAAAGGACAAAATCCCTTCCCCCAGACCTCTGTGGCATGTGCTTGCAGGGGGCCCCTCGTGGGGACTACACTGGTCTCTTCCCTCTCCATCTATCACAGGATGACAAACATGAAGGAAAGAAAAACAGTACCTTTTGTGCTGGCACTAAGAGACAAAAGCAAAACCATTTTGGGTGCAGGTACCTTTAAAGATGTCAAATGCTACCAACAGCACTCAAGGGGCTCGCCCTATGTTTGTGCAGCTGCATCCCTCCGAGGGCAGGAAGAGGACATGCTGGAGTTTGCCTCTGGAGAACAACACAGACAACAGAACTGAGCAGCTCAGTGTGCTCATGCTGTCAGCATACCAGACATCCCAGCAAGGGCATTAGATCCCCCGGGAGCACTGGCTTGGGGCTCAGCTTTTGCTCCCCTTTTTATGAGCTTGCAAGAAATCCCTTCTCGAGTGTCAGACTTGGGTAACCAGATATGCAGCCCCTGCTCATACAGCAGAGACGACACAGGATGGATGTGCATGGAAATAAGCACAGCCTCCTGCTTCCAAGAAAGCAGCTTCCACAAACACTTACTGGAGTGAGAATCTGGAAGAGCCTGGCATGTCCAAGCAGCCTGTCAGCTCCCCAGTGAGCTGCCACTCGTGCCTTTCCCAATACTCGCCCTTTAGAGTTCCTTTCAGGCTCAAAGTGCCCCAGGGTTGCTGCAGAAACCTGAGCTAAGGATGGAGTAAGGAGGAACTCCTTCCCACTCCTTTCCTTGCTGGAGAACCGGAGGTGATGACAACGCTGCCTGGCTGGCAAGGAAAGGCAAAACAAACCCCTGCCCATATTGCATCACCTGCATCCTCCTACAAAGGGACGTGTGTGGGGTCATCCCTGCTGAGAGGTGGGTCACAGCTGGTATCTCTGCTCCCCTGAGGCACAGCAACTCCCCATACTAAGGCAGAGGCAGCCACATTCCCTCCCGAGAGAATGAGTCAGGAATACTTTGGACTCTGGAGCTCAGGATATCTTACACCTTATCAGGGCTCTTGCACTGAGTCCTCCGGAAATATTTAGTTTTGGAGTGCCTGTCCTGGCTGCCCCAGAGTGCCAGGCTGCAGAGGGACAAGGAAGGGAAGCCAGTTGCCTCATGGCAAATCCCATGTGCCTGAGAATCACCTGTGGACACTGGGAGTGACCTGAGGGAACTGGGAGCTACTCAGGTTCACCTGAAGGCATTTTTTAGTGGACTTCTCCTGGCAGGGCAGGGATCATCCTCTGGATGACTCTGAAGCTCAGAGGGACAGCAGGCATTGGGAGCACTACAGGTACCAGTAACGCTCTGGGCTCTTTCTGGTGCACTTTATGTGCATCACCAGTGTCTCCAGCCACTAAGTAAGCACTGAATACAGGAGAGCTTTGCAAGGAGCAGGAGACAAGTGATAAGCCTCACTTCAGGGTGCATAAACTTTCCAGAACTGCCATCCTACGTGGTTTTCAACATCTTGGCTTTTTTCTTCCCTCCTTGCCTGCACCAGGCACACAGAGAGGCAGCCTCGATCCCAACCTCAAGCTGTCAAAGCAGCCTCGCCTGCTGCACTGCCCAGAACCAGGCCAAGGCCCCATGGCACAGATGGCAGGAAAGTCAGGCTCACCCTGGCACTGCTCTCACCCGTGGATGAGTCACTTCTGAGCATGACCCAGCCTCGCTCACTGCACAGCCTCCCCAGCTGTCAGCACCACATTCCCTGGGGCAGGATGATGCCCAGGGCAGGAGAGAGGCAGGGTAGCCCCAGACAGTGTCCCAGGTAGAGGGATAGAGACTGTGGAGCCGATGCTTTTGTGCACCTGAAGCTGGCACGGTTTCAATACAATAAAAAGCCCCGATTGCTGTCAGACTTACTTGAGTGTAAAAAAATCTCTTAGCTAAACAAAATAGCATCCTGTTATTGCTCTTTCATTTCAGGCTTGGTGTGACCAAATAACTGTGCCCAGGAGCTCTGTCCTTGCCATCCCACCTCCTGCTCTGGCTGAAGCTGCAGGAACAGGTCAGCAGCCAGTAAGTGGAGAAGGAAGGAGCCAGAGCAGTCAGGCTCACCCACACCCCACAGCAGCTGAACCATCCCAACAAACCCTGTTGTGAGTTTTTGACAGAGCTCCTGTTCCTGCATGACACTCCTGCCTGTCCCCTCTCCTTCTGTTTAGCACACAGAGTGATGATTACCTTTTGGTGTGTGTTCTTATGGTGTCTCACGCAAACAGGGCCTGGCCCAAGCCAGGGATGTTCACTCTTCAGATACAAACAGAGAAGGCTGACGCTGTCCTTACCTGCCAGAAGGGTCTTTCCTCTTCTCCCCCGCACAGTCCCACTTGCCCTTCTCCGCGTCCTGCAGGAGGGCCATGTGGACGGGGGTGCCGCGGCCGTCGCTGCCGGTGCTGCCGCGGTGCTGCCGCCGGGAGTCAGGCTGGGAGCTGCGCTTCATGGCCTGGAGCTGCGCCAGGGGCACGATGTCACAGCCCTGGGGCCGGTGCCACACGGTCTGCCTCGTGATGGCATTGTAGTAGTAGAAGCGGTTGTTGTTCTGGTCGAAGAGCTCCCACCACTGCTTCTGGTCCGACTGGCGCACCTTCAGGTTGGGGGGGGGCTCCCAGCCGCACTCCCCGGTGGTCAGGTTGACGTACATCCGCTCCTGGGAGCGGGGCTCGATGATCTCCACCCAGTCCGAGCTGCAGGAACACCAGAGAGCCTCGTTAGTCTGGGCCAGGGGCTCAAGGCAAACGAGTTGTCTGGGAGCCCTACAGAGCTGCTGCCACTGGGCCAGGCAGCTTGACTGCAGATCAAAGCATTGCTCGGGGCCATTCAGCAATCCAACCAGTTCAGGAGAAGCCAGGGGAAGGCTTTGAGATGGGGCTGAGACAAAAGAGCAGCTCTTTGGCACAGGGAACGGGAGGTCACCTCCACCAGCCCGGACCCAACAAGCCCAGGGGCAGGCGAGCATGTCTGCTGATGCTGGGATAACTCACATCAAGAGCTGGCACAGTCACAGGAGCGCTGGTGCCTGGGAGATTAGCACAAGAACTTGCTTTCAGGAGGAGCGAGGATCTGCAGAGCAGGATCTGCTCCTTTTGGGAGCTGCACACTCCACCTCAGGAGACTAAAGCCCTGTTTCCCAACAGCGTGGGCAGCCTGCCCCATGTGAGTGCCTGCCTGCAGGCCCCACCTGCTGTGGGGCTGGAGGGGACCTCTGGGTCTCACAGACCCTGCTCAAAGCCCACAGTTGCCAGTCCAAAAGATAAGTGTGGGGAGTGACTGGTGGATGAAACCATCTCCACTGCAGGCTCTTCTTCCCCCTCTGCCCTGGCTGACGGGACAGAGCCCCCAGTAGGGTGTGAGGTGACCCAACGGACAGGCCCTGCTGTTGATCCACAATCCTGCAGCCCCAAATAGCCCCTGAGCCCCAGGGTCCCTTCACCAGCACCCAGACTGGCCCAGCCCAGGGCTCAGTGAGAGCAAGGCAGGCAGAGCTGTGGGACTGGTTTTCAGGCAGATCAGTGGGATGGCTTTGATGCAGAGGTGCTGGGCTGCACAGCCCTCACACGCAGCACATCATCCTTTATCACTGACCCACCAACCCCAAAGAGCTGCCCTGAGTGAAAGCAAAGCAGCTCAGCAAAGCCAAAACCATTTTGGATTGCCCAGATGAACAGAAAGGGGGTTCAAACCCCAACAAGGTCTCCTTCTGCAAAGGGAGAGATGCTGCCACCAAAGTGACCTTGTCCCCAGTGGTACCTCAGCATGGAACTGAAAAACAAGATAAAAACTGCCACGCCTCCCAACTCTGCTCACGCCCCCCTAGTCGTGGCCCCTCACCCTGTGTCAGTGCAGGCCACAGGAAGGAGCCCCAAGTTACTTTTGTTATTAATAAAAGCCATCTGAAGAGGGCAGGTCCAAGGTCTCCAGAGCTCACTCCGGCACAACCTCCAGCTGCTTCCCAGCAAGGGCACGGCAGCAGAAGCCACTACCACAGGAGAAGAAGGAGCAGGGAGATCCCACTGCATCCCTCTCGGGTCCTTGGAAGGATCAGGGGTGATGGTGGCAGCGCTTCAGTGCCTGAAATGGCAGCCTGGGCTCCAGTGCCCAGTCCTGCTGGCACGGTCACGGGACAGGAGGTGCTTCCTGGCAGGGCAGCCCAGCCTTTGGCTCTGCCCCCGCTTTCTGAGGAAGGTCAGAACGTCTCCTGTCACCAGGCAAGTCTGAGGGTGTGTTTAATTGCACATTGCACCGCCTTGCTAGGAAAAGCGTGGGTGGATTCAGTGCTGAGCAGTCTGGCATGCAGCCCTAAAAAGCAGACTGCTCCTCAAACCCTCTGAGGATTCAAAATTGCCAGGGACAATGTCAATTCAACCCAAAATAAATGTGAACTGCCTCTGAGGAGGTGCAATTCCCCTGCCACATCTACCATGCCATGCTGACCTCCCTGCAGTCTCATGGAGGGTTGATGGTCAGGCTACCACAGCCAGGCTGGCTGGGGAAGCTGATCCGGGTGAAAGCCACTTTTTTTGTGGCATAGGTCAGTTTTCAGGCAGATCTGCTCACCCAGCCCAGACTATCACCATCACAGCCATTCACACTGACCCAAGAAGCAGCTGGGAGCAGAGCACACCACCCTTGCCCATGGCACCAGTTCCTGCTGGTCTCCCACCCTCACCAGAGCACGGCAGGCCCCTGCCAAGAGTGTGCCTGCAAACGGATCCTTAGAAAACCCCGTGTTCAGAAAACATCTGGTTTGCTGTTTGGTATCTTCTGATCAAAACAACATCAGTTTCTCTATTTGATTCAAGGTGCAACATGAACAGCCATTTCAGCACCCCATGCCCTGGCTCAGGAACCACAGAAGCAGCTCTGTTCCTCCCAAGCAGTTGCAAGGTCAAACCGTAAGCATAGGGACAAAACAGCAAGTCACTGTCATCACCAAGGGCATCAGCAACTGCAGAGGTGTCATCCATCAACAGGGAACAAAAGGGAGGACTGAGAGCAGCAGCAGAGCCCAGCAGCACTGGGAGCAGAGCAAGAGGAGCATGTCCATGGAGAGGGCAATTAAGAAGTGCTGGTAGGACAAGGAACTGTCAGAGAGGGTCCAAGGGACGGCTCAGAGGGACACATGAGGAGCAGTAACCTTGGAGAGCACTGTAACTCTTCATGAGGACAGGCAGACAGCAGGAAAAGGGGCACAGAGGACTGAGAAGGGGACTCAGACCCAGGGGGCTCAGTGGCAGTTTTGGGGACAGGCTGCTGTCAGTGCTGGAATGGGGGGGAGTTCACCCAAAGGTGGGGGCACAGCTGCCACACTGGGGAGGGGCTGGGAGGAGGAGAGGTGGTGTTGGAAGGGTTGGAGGAGGAAAGCAGGAGCAGCAGTATCCTCACCAAAGCAGCACTGGAACACACATGGGGATGAGCCTGGGAGCAAGACAGGAGGCAGTTCTGGAGGATTCATTTGGCAAAGAGGGAAAAATGCAAAACTCAGCCCCAGCTGAGGGACTGAGAGGCAGTTGAGCCACCAAGCTTTTCAGTGCTCAAGAGCACACTGTGCTTGATGTGTTTGGCCAGCAACTGGGCTAGCAAAGCTTTGGAACACTGATGGCTGGACCCACACTGCTGCTCCTCAGCAGAGAGGAGAGGTCAGCTATTTTCTGTTAAGTGCAAGCTATTGAAAATAACGAATTCTTCTCATGGCACTCGGCCACGACCGAGTGTGTGTTGCTAACTATAGTCTTCCGCTTTAACAAGCTCACATTTATCTTTGTGTGCAAAGACACGTAAGTGGGTGACTTGGGTGGGTGACCTCTATGCTCCCCTTAATTGAGGGGCTGAGGATGACTGAGGTGGAGTTTAACCGGGGGAAAAAATCTGCACAGAACACACTGAAATACTAAAGAGTTTGGTACAATCACACTCACGCAAAGAAAGAAGAGGAAAAGCAAGGAGCACATTCCTGGAGCAGGGCCAGCCCCAGGCTGCCATACAAGCCTCAAACATAACATCAGGAACTCTGGAAAGATGTGATAAACCCAGGATTGCAGAGAGATAAAACCATAACTTGGACATAAAAAAAAGCATCAATTCCCATTCCACTTCACGGGGTTAAAGAAGTTTCCTGGGAATGGTTCAAATAATGCTTTTCCCTGTCCTTTCAGCTCTAAGTGCTGGGGATGCAGCAGCTGCAGTGTGTGCCCACTCCCGCTGGCACCACGGCGCTGCTCCCATCAGCGGGAGTTTGGGGACTCCGTGTCCCCAGGACAGGACTTCCCTTCAGGCCCCCTTTGCAGTCCCAGCCCAAACCCCCCTGCAGGCCAAGCGTGGGGACAGGCAGCCTGCTGGCACTGCAGTGGCTCCGGGGAACCCTCACAGCCACCGTCACAGCCACCCTCACAGCCACCGTCACAGCCACCGGAGCCGCCGCGCACGGGGATTTCAACAAATCCCCACTTGCTTCCAAAAACAAACCCGCATTCCAAATGTGCATCCCCCTCTATTGTCCCAGATTCCAGGAGCTTCCTCTGGGTCCTGAGCAGATGCATAAATCCTCTCCACACCTCACAGCTGGGACACAGGACCCAGCTCCAGCTGCTCGCCCCAGCAGCCTGACCCCCCGGCTGTGAGGGCACGTGCCTCGGGCACGCTGATGCTCTGGAGGGTGGCAGGACCACGGGAGGTGTTGGTGCCCCAGCAGGGAGGTGCTGTGAGCAGGATGGGGCACCAGGCACACAAAGAGCAGGAGGAAGGGCAGGGCCCCTTGTGCACCATCACATCTCACAAGGGCAGACAGGTTTGGTCCCACCTGAAGGCAGCAGCTGGGTTTTTTTAGGAAGGGTTGCAACACAGAGCAGGGAAGAGCCAGGTGGCTGCACTCTGTCCTGCAGCCTCGAGGACACAGGGATGGACATGGGCAAGCTTTGCTCCTTCAAAAACAGCTTGAGTCCCTCCTGGCTGCCATTCCTGCTTGGCAAAGCCTAGGAATAAAAAATAATGATGATAATTTTTAAAATGGGTATTTCAGCCTGAAGGGGCACCCTGTGAGCATCTCCTGATTAGATCTTCTCACAAAGACTGTAAATGTTTAGTATGAGGTCCAGGAAAGAATAATTTTTTTTTACCTAGAGAAAATGGAGCAGGACCAGAAAGGGAAGGGTCCAGGTACACGGGAAGAGTCACCTGCAGGAAGAGCTGAGAAACCCCAAGAAGTTAAACAGCAGCTCCTCCACAGAAGAGCTGATTTTCCTGCCACCATGCCCCAAGTGACAACACAGCCCAGGCAGCCAGTCCCTGGACACCACAAGCTCTTTGCAAGGCCGTGTAAAGGTAAGAATAGTAGAGAAATATTTACTTAGCTGGAACTGTCAGTTTGAGACCTCCAGCCCTCTGCATGAAGCCTTCTCCCCCCTAATTACCTGTGGAAGCTGCTCAGCACCAACCCGAGGACACAAAGGACACTAAAGACAACAGAGCATCAAGGAAAGCCATGGGAAACCTCTGCCTAGGGGAGCTTCACACCAGACTCCCAGCAAACCCCTCTGTATGGCTACAAGGAGAGCTCCTAGAACTTGATCCCCCATTTATCTTCCATGCTCTGTAATTTCTGGATTAATCTTCCATGCCAAGATCTCAGCTCCTTCCCCCCTCCCCCCTTCTTGGGGATGAGCCCTGTAGAGAGCTGGGGCAGCACTAAGCCCTTCTTGGCCAAACACAGCTCTGAAACAAGTAAGGATTTTTGAAGACTCATGCCCTCAGGAGGCCTGCAGCATACTCACAGCTGGCTCCAAGACAAAGCTGTCCATTGTTCCCATCATCAGAGGTCATCCAACTGAGGATGCGTCAATGCCGAGATAAGCGCCTTGTTAACGGGTCCTCCTTGAGGAGGAGGAGGAGGATGGAGTTCGGCCATCACACGTGGAGAGTGAAGTACAGCTCCCAGCCACTGTGTGACAGTGGCTGAAGGCAGGGTGGATGTAAATTCCATGGTTACTCATTGCAGAGAACAGGCAGGGTGATGGGGAGGGGCTGCTGGAATGATCTGCCCTCCAGAGATGAGGAGTTCAGAGCCTGATGCATGTGCTGCATGAGCAGGACAAGGGGCCCACGAAAAGGAGCAGAAGGAGCCTTGTGGAGAATGAAACCACATTCACAATCCTGGGTGCTCTAAAAGGAGGGCCCAGCAACAGAACAAGGCAAACCAGTTCAGGACTGGGGAGTGGGTATCATCCCAGAGGCACCGCAGCTGCTGACACTGCTGATCCTCTGCGAGTCCAGGCTTCTGGCTGGCTGAAGAGCAGCCTGGGCTGTGTTCAAGCACTCAAGCATCACCACAGATTTTTTTTTAAGAGGATCACGCTTGCCCCTTCACCTTCTGCACAACAGGCAAAGCCACCTCTTAAAAAACTTTGCTCAGTACAGACACTGAGCAACAAAGTGCAACCTCCAGGTGGCTTCAGATTGGCATATCAAAGCCAGGACAAGGCTGTAAAACTCATCTGTATCCTGGAGCTGCAGAGCCTCCAAGAAGGTCTCTAGCACCAGCTCCTTAAGGTGACCTCCCACCACCAGCTGACTTAGTCAATCCAGGCTTTACTCACTGCCTTCTTTCAGCCAAGTCCAGAAAAGCTGTAATTTACATCTTAGGACAAAAAAAGTACCCAAAACAAGCCTCTCCCCCACATATATATATATATATATGAACTTCTTTTAATACACATGCCTCCTTCTAACAAAAATTATAGAGGAACTAAAATAAATATAATGTCACCCTGTTCCTAAAACTCTCCTCTGCTTCTGAAAATAAGTGCTATGCAAACAAACCAGCCTCTGCCTTGCAGGAGACAGACCAGACTGTGAAAATACAGAACAAATGGCTGTGATTGCTCAAAGCCTGAGCACATATGCTTAGCTCCAGCAAGAGCAGAGCAGGGGCAGGCCTCTGAGAGCAGAGCCCAGCCTGGCAACACATGGCAGAGAGGAGAGGGAACAGCACCATGGCTTGGGTGGGTTAGGGGTAGCAGAGAGCCTGGAAAAGGTCCTACCACACAAAGCATCTCATTACTTTGGTGTTTTTAATTAAAAAAAAACATAACTAAAATGAAATAGGAACACCAGTGAAGCCCCAAGCCTTCTGCTAGGTGGTATTTTCAAAGACAGAGATGTCAGATGAGAAACTTGGTGGGTTTTTTGATTGCTTGGACTCTGTTGGCTCTTGCCTCTTTCCTGGCCATTCCCAACTTTCCCCCAGGCCAGATGCCAGCCCTGCTGGCTCCCACGGTGCTGCTGTTGGCCCCTCAGTTCACCCTGGCTTCAGAGCAGAACACACAGCAAAGGGGCAGCTCATTCCACGGGAGCAGGTTGGGGCAGCACCAAAATTAACAGCAGATTCCTCCAAAATCCTGTCTTGGAAAGAAAGAAGTAAGAAACAAGGACTTTCAGGACATAGATGAGATTTTCTGGTGTCTCTGTAAGAGCAGAGAGGGGGAGCAGAGGAGAAAATCTCTCATGGGATGACAGACACCATGACAAGTCATGCTACAATGATAATCAACTGAAAACAAAGCCCAGAACAGCCCCAAAGGCATAAGGCCCTACAGCCCAAGACCAGTACCTGAGACTTGGGTGGGATGGATGCACAGGCATCTCAGACTCCACATCTCAGCAGGGAGAAGGGAGGGCAACACAGAAACTCCCACCACCCCAACCTTCACGTTTCTCCATCATCCTCTCTGTGCTGAGCGCTGCCCACCAGGGCTGGACTGACCCTGTCCTGAAATCACTCCCAGCCAAGCCCTGGAGTCACACAGAGAAGACCTGCTGGGGAGGGGAAGAGAGAGGGATCTGAAGTGCTGCTTGCCCCATCCCATCCCTCACTCCACCCACCACAGGACTGGGGGTTCCACAACAGAGGGAAGAGCAAAGGGCAGGAAACATCCCTGTTTTCATGGCTTTGGGACAGAGCATAAAGCACCTGCTGGATGGGCACTCTGAGCAGGAGGAGTCCTGGTACTGGAGACAGTCACAGGCACCCAGGGACTGCTCAACCCAACGCTAAAGGAAACTGCACCTGAGGGCAGAAGGAACAGTAAAATCCACTCCCATTAAAAAAAATCTCAGCCGTGCAGATGGGTCTCAGTTCTGACTGCACCTGACAGCCAGGGAAGTGCAGGCTCCTGCAGCAGCTCCTGTGTCACACAGGGCTGGCTGCTGTGCCTGGCGAAAGCACCTGCTGCTCCCTTGGAGGCCAAGGGCCTCTCACTTCTCTCTGTCCCCAAACTGTCATTGAGGGTGAGCACCTCAGACTCTGCTACGAAGAGAGATCAGCTGTGGCCACTGCAGCTTGGGCAGGAGGCAAAAGACATGGCAAAAAGCATTCAGTGTCAGAAAGGTTACAGGTGCCTCCCTCTGCTCTTCTCCAGGGTCCCCAGGCTGGCCCAGGACACAGCTCTGGCAGGTGGCCTCTCCAGCCTCTCTGTCCCAGCCAGCCCAGGGGTTTTACAGCACTGGGAAGCAAAACCACTTGCAGAGCTGGAGCCCCAGAGTGCAGCAGAGAAGTGAGCCAGCTTCCCTGGGCTGCGGGGCCTGCCTGGACAACCCGGCCCCCGAGCTGCTGCCACCATGGCTGGAGTTTGCATTTTGCACGTGAGAGCACAAGGCCAAACCCCCAATCCTTAAACAGCCTCCCCAAAGCTCTGCTTTGCCCCAGACGCAGTGGCACCTCCTAAGCTCAGTGAAGGCTTCAGCTGAGTCGTTTTTCCTTTTAAGGGCTGAGCATTTGAGAATGAGTTGCAAAAGAAAAAAAAAACTGGCAGTTTTCATCCCCTCTCTCTCCCTCAGAAACGATCTGCACGGATCCACAGCCCCATCCAAATCCCAGCTGCTGGAGGGGAGGCAGCTGTGGGGGAGGCTCGGTGCCAGCAGGACAGTGCCTGCTCAGGGGCAGGGGGTGCTCTGGGGGGAGCTGAGCCTGGCACAGCTCGGTGCTGGCCCTCCCACCTGCATCAATCCCACCACACGTGGTAGAGCCTGTCGCCAGGATTGGGACTGACACCAGCACCACTGCACTCTGCCAGTGACTGCATCCCACCTCAGCGTGCTCATAACCAGGCTTTGTCCCCAACAGACAGGATTTCCATGGGAAAACTTCAATTTTAGCAATAACATAGGGAGGAAATAGTTCAGAGTTGCTTAGGTGAAGGCATTACAGGACAACCTACCAGTGCAGCAACAACTGACAACCACAGCTGGGATGCATCCTGCCTCCCTCCATCCCTGGTGCTGCCCCAGGCGTGCTGGGCTCAGCCCCAGGGCAGCAGCCTGATGCCTTCCCATCCCCCCCAAGGCCATGGCCGTGGTTTCAGGGAGGATTCGCAGAGACAGGCTGTAAGCACCGCTCCATGGGCAGCACCACAGTCACCCCCCTCCCCGGGGTCCCACCCAAGGGGGCAGCAGGACTCGTGCAAGGTCATGGCCAGAGCCTTCCAGGAGTGCACATCTCTGCAGGGAGGTACCCAAAGTCATAGATCTGCTTTCTCTTCGTGTCTTTTTGGGACACACCAAGCTAAGACAAAAGATTTCAGCTGGAACCGACCTGGGCTTCATCCACCTCAGAGTGTGTGCAGGCACCGAGTCACACAGGATCTGCACACCGTGGCAACCAAAGCACCCAAGAGCCTTCCAGCACGAATGCCCGGGCAGTTCCTGTTTCTATCAGGGGGATGGATGCAAACAGGAGGAAGGGATGGAGATGGAACCCTGTGTGAGTCTTGATGAGCCCCAGCACCCACTAGTGCTGCTCACTGACTGAGACCCCAGTCAGTGACCAGAAAGCTGCACGTGGCTCCACAGAGTTCTAAGACCCCCACACCTCTCGCCAGCTGCTGAACAGAAATAAACCAGACCTAAGCAGGGTGACACCTCCCAACACTGACAAGGCTGCATGTGGGGCCAAGAGCATCATGCTGATATAGCTGCAGGAACGAGGTGGGGAAGATACACCTGCCCAAAGGATAAAAGGCAACAGCCCAGAGCCTGGAGAAGCAGCATGCAGCAAGCACTCTCCCTGTGCCAAAGCAAGTAATGTCACACAGATGATATCCCTGCTATTTCAAGGACACAGCAGCACCCGCTGCCCTCTCTGTCATTCTAGGAATTACTGACAAAGGCCTTATCTAGCTGGTTGCCCAGCTGCTTCAGGACTGAGATTTACTCTTCCTGGCCTGCTGTATCACTGCTGAAGATTTCAGGGATTCCTCCCAGCACTGCCACGAAGCCCCTGCAGCTGCTGCCTCAGACGGCTGCTGCTGAGCAGAGCAGCCCGAGAACAGTGGGCTCCACAATCAGAAGCTGTTCTAGAGAAGCTGCAGCACCACAGAAACCCAGCAACTGCTCCAGTGCCCTGGCAGCAGCCCACATCACTCACACTGCGCGAGGAACACGACTGCAGTGAGTGATGTTCATCGTTTCTGTGCACAGATCCTCCTGGGCACAGTGATGGGATGCCAGGCATTGCACAGCCACAGCCACACTGCAGTGCAGAGGAGTCTCCCCATTACAGTAGGGGAAAAGAATAACCATTTTTGTCCCATCTAAAGAGAGCCTATAGCAGCCAGGAGAGAGCAAAGTGAACAGCCAGGTCCCAGAGGCTCATTTACACCAGGCACAGGGATGTTTGTTTGCTGCACAAGGGAACGCTGAGCAACCAGGAGAAAACATTTACAGAGGTTTCTGAACAGTGTCAAGGAGTGAAGGCTGGGAAGACAGGAACAGAAAAGGAGCTCCCAAAACCAGCAGAGGGAAACGTATCAGCCAGGACCTCGGGACAGAACAGTTACCACAGTGAGAGCGTGCAGGGATGGGGACTTGAAGGACCTCTCAAGACACCCACCTCTGGTCTAAAATAATTCCACCAGGCAATTAAAAAAAACCCATCACAGCTTTAGCTTTTCCAAAGGCAGCCCAGGAGCCAGCAGTGGCAGGGAACAGGAGCAGACTGAGGCTGTAATTACAGGGTGGAGCCCCTCACAGCCAGGCCATGCACAAGCGGCCCGTGTCACCCCAGGTGCCAGCTGCAGATGCCCAACAAACAGCCCGATCACAGAGCCTAGGGCTTTCAAGCACCACTCTGCAAAGCTACATATCTGAAGCAGCTACATTCCTAAATGTCTGACATTAAGAAAATAATGGCCCTCTGTCTCTCTTCATTTAAAGGGCTGCCAGTCATTTATGAGCTAAAACACAGAGTCCCTTGAAAACTCGTGCACAACACAGCCATGGACAGCAAGGGACCAGGTTATTTCTCGTCTAGCAGAGTCCACAAAACACTGTGGACTGAAAGCACAAAACAAATATAACAGTGTTTCATCACAACTTTTTTAGGCTGTTCCGTTCTTCAGCAAATCAACCCGGTTGCAGCTGTCTCTGCAGACTCTGCTGGAAAAACTAAGAACAAATGCAGTGAAGCTCTTGAAAGTATTAGCTGTCCAAGCTTGTTAAGCGTGACTCAAGTTAACCACCACAATGCCAGGATGGCAGAGGAATTTGGCAGCCAGTCAAAAGCAACAGGAATAACAGAGTCGGCAAACAAACAACTCTCCCTTGTGCTGCAAGCTGGGATCAGGAAGCTCATCCTGACAGGACTCTGCAGAGGAGCTGCCTCAGTGTCATCATTTTCTCCAGCCCAAAGCACACCAATTTCCTCTGGCAAAGAAACAGAGGCAGTAAGTAAATAGCCGAAAACCCCAGCCACGGAGTTCATAAACCCTTTACAAAACAATAAGCAAGAAAAATTAATTTCTCATGGAAAAGAGACTCTTGCATTTGTTTTGCCTACAGGAATCGCTGAACAACAAGCACACGGGACACAACTGTCAGGATCCTGCAAAGCCAAGGCACTGGACCCACAACATCGGGCCCTCCCCAGGGCAGCTCCCCGGCCCCTGCTCCCTGCACCGCTCCAGCTCTGAAAAGCTCACCTACCCAAGAGTGAATTCGCAGTTTGGGATGAAAAACACGGCCCATGTTTGATTTTTTCCGCTGTTTTTTTATTCTGATGTAATAACCCATGAGAGAACCTTCCTGCGAAAGGAAAGGCATGTTGGAAGCGTTGCCCCAAACTGACATTCTTTTCCTGACCGCCTCCAAAACGTCACGCTGTGAGCAGGAGTCACATCCCCTGAGCTGTATTTCGACCTCTGCTTTGTCTGCTACACACTTGTGTCTGCAAGATTAGCAGTGACTATAGTAACACCTTGGGACTCCCAGTAAACAAAAACACTAGTTATGGACAGTGCCAGTGCTTTGTCATTAACGAGATCGGGCTTGACTTAATGAGAAACTGAGACTGAGGCGCTTAAGCTTGTCTTAAAATGCACTCCCAGCCTTTTTAAAACTGAACATCTGCATTCTGGCATTGATAAAGTCCAAAATGGTCTCCCCTGGTTAATCCCAGCTTTATTTAGACTGCAAAGGCTCTCCCCCGTCATTATACATGACGGGGGAGAGCCTTTGCAGTCTAAATAAAGCTGGGATTAACCAGGGGAGACCACTGGAGTCTTCAACACGCTCAGGAGCAGAAGTGGAGGGGTAAGTACTGACCTCTTCCTTCTCCTGACCAGCGACAGGACTCGAGGAAACGACACGAAGCTGAGTTGGGGGAGGTTCAGGTTGGATAGCAGGAAGAAGTTTTTTCACCCAGAGGGTGGTTGAGCACTGGAACAGGCTCCCCAGGGAAGTGAGAGGATAAAGGATTCCATGTTCTCACCAAATCTTTTTCTCTCGGTTAATTGACTGACAGGGGGCTATCAATCTCCAATCAGGGAGATCTGGGGAAGAGTGATGTCAAAGACAGTGACATCAGAAGCTGCAAGTTTTGAGAGCGCCAAGAAGACTTTGAAGTTGGTGAGGAAAGGGAGGGAGGGGTTTAGAGTTAATACCTACACTTCTACAGAAGAAAAGTGAACTCCTCGCAGGAGAGAAGATTGACTGGGCAAAACAACTCCACCTCTAGAGGGATGAAAATGGGCAACTGCAGCTGTGAGTTGTGTAGGACCAGAAACAGAGCTGGGGACACACTCATCACCGTGATCCTCACCCTGTGAGTGCACTCCTTCACAGATGTTCAGGCTCAAGTGGAACCACCAGCCTGAGTAAAAGCCCAGGTCTCTCCTCTCCTACAGCTCCTTAATGGGTACCAAAAACCTGGCAATGGTATTTTTGACACAGTTGCAACTCAAGGGAGATTCTAACGGAGCTGGGAAAAGGTGGATGTGCACTTGGGGGTTTTAAACACAGTTAAATTCAAATGCTGCCAAGAACAGTTGAACTGCCATTTTAGATACACAGGGTGTATCTTGCTTAAATAACCAGGAGATAACTAAAGAAATCATGCAGACCAGAGCCTGGCCCAGGTTCTCACCCTTGACCAGGTGCACCAATCTGCACCAGGTTCTCACCCTTGACCAAGGCAGCCTGAAATCAACACTTGAGCTTCTGTGCATTGCTGGAACACTGAATATGTGTCATCTGTTTGTCCTGGTTTAAGGGAAGGGGGGAGCAAAAAAAAGAAAAGGGATAAAAAAAAAATTCAGACTGGGTTTTCTTATAAATAGCACATGAGAGACAGCTCAGCTCAGGAGGTGGCTGCAGAGCTGGCAGCACTAGACAGGATCTCCTGAACAAAAAAAAAATCCAGGAAATCCGCAGTGTCACTTCTCCCCACAATTGATTTTAAATGAGCTTATCCCTTGCACTTGGTACATGAGGAAGAAGAAACTTCCTGGCTACAAGGGGGGGAAACACAGTTATTAATAGCATCACAATGAGCAAGTATCAGAAGTTATGTTGCAGCCCTGGAAGATCTTGGCTGGATCATGAAAATATCTGTTGCCATGGCAGTAATTGCTATACATGGTAACAGTGAACACTGGGGTGAGAACAATTCACTTTTTGATTTGGTGCCCATAACAAGTTCCTTTTGTTTTCTTTCACCAAAACCCCAAGCATTTATTAGCTTGCATTCAGTCCAAAACTGAGCTTTTCACTTTCAGCAGTGGCAAGGAAGACAGCAAGAAAGGGGCAGATGCAGGAAGACAGCAAAGCAGGCAGCGCTCTCCCTGGCCTTCTGCACTGACAGGGCTGATGGACTGGGGCAGAGATCTGGACCACATTCCACTTCACTTTTTATCTGATGTCCACCTAGACAGTCTCTGTCTGCCTCCAGTACACAGGGTTTGCCACAGATAAAAAAAGAACAAAAATCAGCCCAGGCACTTAGAGCAAGGACTCTTCCAAGATGGGATGGCCTGACACTCAATACCCAGTGTGGCCGCAGACCACGACGGTGTCGTGACTGTCTCATTCTGTCCTTTGCTCCCCTCTTGGCTGTTCCCCAGCCTCCTCTTCCCTTCCTGCAGCGCTGCCAAGCACCAGCTGATACTTTCCAGAAACACCTGCTACCCTCAATTCATTCCTGAGTTTCAGTGCTCAGAATTTCTCCCCTCGTTTGCTCAGTCCATCACTGCGCTCATGGACATCGCACGCTCTTCCCCAGCCGGTGCTTTCATCCCCATTTCTAGGTCAGCCTGGCACCCCCAGGACTTCCCTCCAATCTACTCCTCATCTTTCCATTAACCATTTATCCACCCACACATCCCAGGATGGACTTTTCCTGGGTACCCTGTGCTGAAACCTCTCAGAGAGGTCCACTGGACCACTCCACTTGACCACCCCTGCCATGTGCTTGCAAACACCTTCCAGATGCCACTGGAGTCACGTGGCTCAGTTTTGGTCTACAAAAGCCATATTGGCTCTTCTACAACATGTCATACCTATACACATTCCCACTTAATCTTGGTTTCTGGAAACTTCCACAAACGTAAGACACACATCTTTGGTGAAACCAACTGTCCCTCCGTTCTGTCTACAGGTGAGACACCAGGAGAGGTTTGCTGGGCAGAGCATGTGAGCCTAGCCATGCCCTTTCTCCATATTCTCCCTTCTTCCTCCACAATCCACACATGTATTACAGATGCTAGAGGCACACCACTGGCTGTTCTTCCTAATAACTGTTTCAGGCTGGCTGCCCATAAGTTTACCCAAATACTTTTTTCAACCTGCTGATGCCTTTTGCATCCCAACCCCCCGAGAACAATGAATTCAGAAGTTCATCACACATTGCATAAAATAAATGGCCTTCCCTCTATCTGCTTTAAACCAATCTCCATTAGGTTTCAAGTGTTCATAGTTCTAGGGTCACCAGACCTGGTAGAAAAAAATTCAACCTAATCATAAAAAGGGGAAACGTTGTGCCCATCTTTAAAAAGGGTGGAAAGGAGGACCCCGGGAACCGCCCTGTCAGCCTCACTTTTGCACCTCAGAACGCCATGAACGGACCCTCCCTGAAGCTCTGCTGAGGCACAGGGAGGACAGGGAGGTGATTTGGGACAGTCAGCACAGTTTCACCAAGGGTGAGTGCTGCCTGACCAACCCAGTGGCCTTCTGTGAGGGGGTGACTCCAGCAGTGGGTAAGGGAAGGGCCACTGTCACAAAGTGACAGATGTCATTTATCTGGACTTCTGTAAAGCCTTGGACACAGACCCCCACAGCATCCTTCTCTCTCCAAATTGGAGTGATGGATTTGATGAGTAGACTGCTGGATAAGAAAGTGGTTGGACGGTCACATCCACAGGGTCGTGGTCAATGGCTCAGAGACCCAATGGGATCATCGACCCGTGGTGTCCCTCAGGGGTCTGTACTGGGACCAGTGTTCTTTAATATCTTCCTTAATGACACAGACGAAGGGATGTAGTGCACCCTCAGCAAATTGACTGGTTTCTTTGATCAACAGAGACAGAACTGATGATTGCAGAGAACTCTCAGTGACAACTCTGAGCTCCTTGCTCAGCTGTAACCACTAGTTCCAGGTTGAGCATCAAACAGGCCCACTACAGACCATTTTTCCCTGTGGGTTCACCACATTTTCCTACACTGCAGCTTATCTGTCACATATTGGTCCACTTGCTTGGTTCTGTGAGGTCCTTCTGGAGTTCCTCACATTGGTGAGGTATCCAGCTGCCTGCAGGAGCTGAGGATCCTCTGCAAACCCAAGAATTTCACTGCACCCCTCGATGCCTGAAGGCACCCACAGACTCAGCATCAGTCTCTTGGGCCTTGCTGCTGACTAATCCAGGCTCAAAAATGACCAGGAAGTCCCACCCTTTGCAGTCTATGCTTTCACCAGCTCTTAGTCCAGAATAAGACTTTTCCTCCACGCTTATGGTGATTTTGTCTCTTAAAAGCCTTTGCCAGAGAACCTTTGTTAGAAAACAAAGCCACATGAAGCCTTCTGGTCCTGCTCCCCAACCTCCAGCAGGTCTGTGAGGCAGGGCTTGCCTTTCCATCACTGCTCACCCTGCTCCGAGCAGCTGTGCCTGGCTGTGCCTTCGGTGACCTTGCTCTTCACTGCAGAGGGCTGGACACAGGGCTCACACCCCACAGCCCATGGAACCCAGAGTCCTCCCCACAGCCCTTCCCCAGCAGTGCACCCAGACAGATACTGAGCCACCTGCTGTCACTTCCCCACTTTCCTCAAGATTCCCCACTTTTAAAAATGCCATCGCATTTGGCACCGTCACTTTCTGTGATACCAAGGGCACTTCAGCAGCAGGATACACACGAAAGCATCTCAGCAATTCAGATTTCAGATCCTATGGCACTCTTGACTAAGCACTATCTGTTCCTTACAGTTTCTTATCAGTTCCTCTGTTTGCTCTAAAACTGTTTCTACTGGGGCTCAATGCAAGAACTTCTCAGACAGCTCTCCTGTAGCAAGATTGTAGTTAACAAAGCTCCTCCACAGGAGTCAAGTTGGCCAAAAAATGGTTTAAATTTTTTTGTGATGGCTTTATCTTCTACGCCTTTCACACCTTGATCTCTTCTGCTACCAGTTTCCAAAAGGCTTCTGGTGCATTTGAAAGTTAATCACAGTCGGCAAATTCACTCTTCAAAAGTCTTACTCTGGCCTGCCTTATTTTGATTTTAATCTGTTGAAATATATAGGTTTTTTGGTCTTGTTTGGATACAGCTTCCCCTTTTTAGTCAAGCTCTCTCTCGTTCCACCATCCTCCTTTCCCCTGCACATTTCCTTTTGATTTTTGTCTTTGTTTAAAAGGAGAAAACCCCCCTCTGATCTGTTTTTGGTGGATGTATGCATTCCTTTTGAGTTGCTCCTGTCATGACCAAATAACTTCCATGCCACCTCTGTTCCTATCAGCTGCTCTTTAGCAGAGAGAGATCTCAAGGCTCTAATGTGCCAACAGACAGCCCCTTTTCAGCAGACTCAGGAGTAAACACCAGCTCTGTGGCAGGGCAGACAAGTCTCCTTAATTTTATTTTTATGCTGCCAGTCATGAAGAACCCATCATTACCCCACGCTCAGAGTTACCA